TGGAGCTCCCTGTATCTTTGGAGGGCGACCCAGAGCTGCAACGAATGCACCCGTGCACTACAACAAGCGAAACCAAGTCCGCCTCGCAGGATTCATGATAGATGTTGAACAAGATCAACAAACTAGGCGTCATAGCCCCAAAAGGAAACCTAGAGGTTGACGGTGGCTCTTCATTTTCCCAGCAGGATAACTCCAAGTTCCATGCATGTTCAGTTCCTCGGTGTTGTCCCGGGACAGAAGCCAGGTGCCCGTCTGGTCGCTCAGCAGTATCTTCCGCATGAGCATGAGCTGCCCCTCGGGGGGAAGCTGAGATGGATGAAGCCCTATGAATACTGGGACAAATCACGTATACACTAAGTGGTGCAGGATGTTGACCATGAACTCACCTAAAATGGGCCAAACCGGTGATGTTCGAGTAGGTGTAAAGTGATTCTGACCAGAACGGTTTCATGGCTAAACACATCCTATCAAAACGGGAGGCTGTGGGTGTTATAGGGTGTTGCCCCTGGCAGTGTGCCCCACTCGCTTGGCTGTTTCTCCTGCAATTGGAAACTTGGATTGAAGGCATAGCACAACGAGTCCGAGGCCTGTCCGCGATGTCTTTTTGGCCCGAGCCTTGTACGGCGTCAGGATGACGATGGATTTCTTTGGTACGCCGCACTCCACCAAATAGTATGCCAGCCAAACTGCCATATCGGCTTCCTCGAAAAACCGCACTCTTTTTGAAACTCCCAAAAAAGGCGCCTGCACAACGCCGTCCCGTCCGACTCTCATGGGATCCAAGTGCCTTCCAATACACATTCTCACACGTGCTTGGACCCTGAGCGAAGCTTGAAACCGGTTTGCCAGGAAACCCAGAGAAAAATGGCTTCTGTTCAGTCTCGTGGCCTGGAATGAGGGATGGAAAGCCGACAAAAGAAAGCAAGAAAGTGTTAGATGTTTGCTAGAAATCAAGACATCAAAATACATGTGAGTGCCAAACAAGTCCCAAAATGAGCGTCACTCGTTCGTGATCGCAAACAACTTCCAAAGTAGAACATGAACACAATGAACGAGGTGAGTCACAAAACGAGCTATTACAAAAGCCTACCTGGATGAAAAGGGGACATCCCACAGCCTTCAGCTACCAGTGGTTTTGATTGTGGCTCAGGTCGCCTTCAAACCTAGCGACGAGTGTTCAAAGCGAAAAAGAAGGAAACCCAAAAGCGCACAAGGGAAAACCGCCAGTTGGGTCTGGCAATAAAGGGAGCAGAGCGGGAACCAGACATAAAATGTTATAAGTCTGAGCAGGAGCTCCTGCCGGTTGATCTTGGAAAGGCCCACCTCAGCTTTGCCCTGGCTGCCCGCGTGTGTCCAAAGGTAGACGTGGGACTGCACTCCTGAAGAGGGCTCAGATATGACCGTCCAGGAAGTTGACTCTCTCCACTTTGCTTCTGCAAGACTAGGCAAGGTAGTGTTTAATTGCTCAGAAACAGTTCGGAAACTTGCATTCCGAATGATAAGGCAAGCTAACATGACAAAAAACATGTTTGCATGTCTAAGACTACGCAAGTTTCGGAACCAGCTACCCCTTGCGTGAGCTCGGATTGGTCAAGCCACAGCCACCACTCCCGGACTGGCTCCCCCGCGCTTTCCTCAGCAAATTGCAAATCTCGACGAGCGCCCGCGAAAGGTGCCGAGGCACCCATTTAGTGACTGGGTCGCCTTTTGTCCAGAGGTTGACACTGGACTGGGAGGGGCATCCCCCAATGGGAAATGCAGCTAAGCGTGCTTTCCGTTGTCCAAAAGAGGGCACCCCTTTTGATGCAGGTGTTGATTCTCCCCAGTTTTCCGGAGAACCGGCACATGGTTCCCCCCGCTGACCCCCCCGTCGTTCCTGGGATCTCGCGGCCCTGAAAATGGCTCCGATGGGCGAGGCTCCCCGGGATCCGCCGCGACCAGCACTGCTCGTGGTCCTCGATGCTGGTGATCTCCGCGTAGTATCTGAGCTTCCGGCCCAAAGGGAGGCCCTACTGTGGATGGTTGCGAATTCCTGGACGAAATCCATTTTGCACCACTTTGAAACCACTTTGGAAACCATTGTTTGTTGGTACTTACAGGGCAATCATTAGTATCTGAGCTTCAGCCGGCCAAAGGGAGGCACTGCGAAAAATGGAGCAACAGGCGCAAACCAAAAGGTTGCCAAGCCTGTGCATTCATCAGGACCAAATGAAGGCAAAGGGAGGCACCAGTCAGAAGACAAAACCACCCTCTTCCGGATATGAGCTTTGGAAACCAGTGACATATCATACAGCTGCTGGGAGGAGCCATTCCAAAAATGGGAAACCAGTCAAATCGGTCGAAAGGATAGGCATAATTACCCCTGAAAAAATTGGAAACTCGGAAACCATGGAGGGAAAGGCAAGTAGAGCCGCCAAGGGGAAACGCCTGAGCTCCGGCTTCCGCTTCCTGACAGACCCATTCGAAAACTAAACCCCACTGGTCCGTTCTGACGTCCAAGTCCTTTCTGTTTGTACAAATCATACCTCTTGCTGAGCTGCATCTCTGTGGCGAATGCAGCGAACACCTGTGAAAAAGCAGGGCGCTTGCATGAAACAGTTCAAACGTGCCCCCACTGCTGGGCCTGCAGTGAAATAGCTGACTTTGTTTTTCAGCTGGCCCGTTCCCCAACCGACCAAGCACTGTCCAGCACTGTCCAGCTTTGATCTGTGTGGTTTTGCAGCAAGGAAGATCGAAGAAGAGAAGCCCAAGAACACAAAGCGACAAGTCACAAACCAATTCATGGAAACCGACCCTATTACCGACCCTATTACCGACCCTTAAGGGTCATGGGCTACGACATACGGAGCATGTTTTGTCTTCATGCTTGGATAGTCAGGTATCCACGAAAACAAACGCGGCATGGACACACCTTCTTGGGCCTCCCTTTTGCGGGAAAGGTCCATTGTCCGTGCCAGTGACCTGTTCCATTCCCCAGAAACAAAACCCAGTAGCATCTGCCAGGAATCCAAGTAGATAATTAACCACCGAGAGCAAACTGACATACAACAAATGCAAATGGTCAGCAAGCAACAAAGCAAGCAAGCTAGCTAACTAACTAACTAACAGCACGATTCCCCCCACTAACCTTCATCCCTGCCGAGCGCGGTTTTGAGGCGAGCTTGCTAGTTTACAAGTGGGCAGAGGCGACACTGCCAACAGGCTTTCAGCCCAAAGAGGCAAGCCCAACCCGAGGATACACAAAACAGTCAGTTTTTGTCCAGGTCGTATCCGGTCAGCCTCAAAATCTAAACGTGTTCAGAGCCCTGATGGGCAAGCAACTTTGAAAAACAAAGACTTCCCCTTGGCGTGCTTTGTCTCGCCAAGACGCTCACGGGTGAGGTCGCACACATCCTTGCGCATTCGCCGCTGCACAGATAGCACGGAGGAGGGCACCCTGTGATCATCGGGCGCTCGGATGAGGCGCTCAAACATGGAGATGTTGACGTTGTTGATCCTGCCGGTCTCTCGGCTCAAAACGTCATCATGTACACACACCCAGAGCAGCTTGTCCCAGCTGTCTTATACATCGGAAATGCCTGCGGACTGCCGCTGATGCCCCATTGGGGATGCAGGTCCCAAATTAAAACCCTGAAGAGCACAAAGAGGGGGACGAAACTGCCACCGGTGCCCGTGGTAAGCCCAACAAAACGCAAAGCCACTATGTGCTTGCAGGTCAAACATGGTTGCAACTCCTAATGCTTTTGTAGCATGAAACCAAAACTGGAAAGGCGTACTGTCTTCTGGTGTCCAAGTCAAACTCATGTTGAAAGAGCTTCAACAGCTTAAACTTTGCATGGAAGATGCATTGCTATTGTAAAAACTCGGATTGGTAGGCCAGTCAAGTCAGCTTCCTGTGGGACATGGCAGTCAAAGCGAGTTTCTCGTGGGATATGGCATAGGGTTCCCGAATCGAGTCATAGCCCAAACCCGATATCTACATATATGTACCCAGAGCCACAAGAGCCACCGCCTTCTTGTATGGCAATGTCCGGCTGCAAGCAACTCGGAAACGTCCTCTATATCATGTTTGTCCGCAGGGAATAACGACAGGATGCGATCAGCAAACCAATGCCTTCCACAGGCACTGGCACCAATTCAAAACTCAGCGTTTGCCCCAAATAGTGATCATTCTTTGAGATTTGGGGCCACAGATAGTGCCATACTGGCAAATATGCAAACAGCATCAAGGAAGTCCCCAGTGTTTGTAAGTTGCAAGCCAGATTGATCGTTCCGATACATGGGTGTGTCTTTATGTGAAGGTACCCTTTTGGAGGGAGTCATGTTGCAGGGAAACTAAAGGAAGTCACCCATTTCGGTGGGTCATCCGTACGTTTTAGATGTCAATGAGTCAACCACAACACGGCAGCATCCATCCAAAGCCAACAGGGACACAAAACAAAACACCTTGAGCCAATGCAAAGAACATGTTCTTCCAGATCGCATTATCACCCGTCTTCAAGCTGAAGCCATGACCATTTAGGGGCTCCTGGTGGACATGTGACTGGCCATCCTGGCTGAAAAACAACAAGTGCTACCATTCATTCTGGGTGAATGATAACAATTCAAAGAGAAGGTCGCAAATAGCGGGGCTTTCGTGAGGTTGCATGTGCATTTGCCCGGATTTACCTTTTGAATGGCAGACTCGAAAGGCCGGTTTGAGAGCTGCGGACTCCTCTCAAAGGTAAACTTCTGCATGATGGATGGCTGCAGCTGCAGGTGATCTCCGATCATTTCCAGCTTCACCTCGGATGCCGATGTCTAGTTCCACAATTCGAAAGAGCAACAAAAACGCGAAAGGTGTGCAACGGGTAAAAGTTCCATCATTTCAGCTTCTGTTTGATACAGAGTCATAGGCCCGCAGCTTTGGCGGTTTCTTCACAGCATTCTGAGTAGGTTGGACGACCTCACCAACCAGAAATCAGGGATCCCTAAGAATCGGGACTGACACCAAAGCAACCTTGTACCAGGACAGGAGTTCATACATTTTCCCGCAATCACTCAAAGGAAGCTCGCCTACATTTGGCCTAAATCCACCGTAAAGGGAGACCTACGGAGCCTTGGCACGACGTTCTTCCCTTTTCGGCCCGGAAGCCCCGAGTCGGATTTCCAGCCGCGGCCGAGGTGCGGTGGAGGGGCAGAAGCAAGCGAACAGCAGAGGCTCCAGCACCTCCGAAGCCTTGCTTCGAAGGGCGGAACCGATCCATCTGGAGCCTTTGGGTCCGATTTCCTCTTGAAAAGTCGCTTTCCCGATCCGTGAAACCCACAAGTCTTGCCAATGAATGCCAATGAGGTAGGTTCTCAGCTGTGTTTCTGGGGGTTGAACCTTTTAGGAGATGGTAATACCAGGGGGTCCAGAGATACAGCGAATTGCAAAGAAAAGCGGGAACCAGCCATCCGAAAAAAGGATTCAGGATTGTTTTTGAACAGGGTCGACAAATTGGGCGTATCTCCAAGAGAAAGCCCGCACTACGGCCGCTCATCTAACAAGTTCGTCCTAACAGGATCTCTCCAAGAAGCCTCCGAATCTTGGGGCGCCACCAAAACCCGGGCCCCTTTTCTTGAGTCCACACCCAGCCCATCGATACGCGGGAAGGCGGGAGGGGACGGGACCGCGGCAGTTCCTCGTGCCTCGCCTCCTCCACCACAATGGCAAAGGGCCGTGTGGACCGGATCGCCTCCAGGCGGCTGATGCAGCCCACGATGGTGCCTTGCGAGCTATTCTCACGGACGAAATCCGGACGCGGATCGATGGGCACCGGACGAAAAAATATGATGTTTTCTGTTGCTGGTTAATATAAGCCACTTACCAACTGCTGCATGTTGTCCATGTGCGGTGGGGTCTGCTACAATGGTTGGTTTCCTTTTGGCGTCTTGCTTGTTGAACCCAGTGGATCCCGGGCAAGCCACCATGGGTAACCGCGATTGTTTACCTCGAGCAACTGGATCCACAGTCTAAGGCAAATCTATGCCAAAACCACACTGGTTTGAGGCACGCTCTGGGAACCTCCAAATGAGCCTGCACAAATGCCTCGACGGAATATTCCACGACTTGCCTGCAGGGGTGTGATTCTTGGGGTGTCGGGATCTGAACGTAGAAAGCTTGATGGTACACCAAGCACACGTTTTGAAGGAACCCTTCCAAGGCCTTCTTCGAGTCTCGCGGACGTGGAGAAAAACGGCTCATTGGGTACTCCCCCAAAGAGGCCCGGAAGGAGAAACTGGGGCTGGGGGAGGAAGGACCAAAGAGTGTCAATGGGGAAAAGTGAAGGTGGGTACAACATCTTCGGTCAAGTTTCTCTTAATCCTAGAACAACGGGGATAAGACAAATCAGGGGCGACAGGGATTGGATCGAGAGTGACTCATGGCTCGGCCCAGGCACACTGGCACAAGTACGTCTGCTCCAAGCAACAACAAGGATGACTCGCCCGATTGTTCTATTGAAGGCACTGGTCAGTGCTCAGGTCGGGGAGCAAGCCTGCTTTCTCTCTACAGAGGTTGGAGCAGTCTTGGGTCAAATGTAACCTGATAGCCAAAATCCCCATGAGAAACAGCGTGCATGCTCATCAGCACAGCTTGCCACTAAGAGGCAAATGCACTTCTCTCTTTTTTTGAGGGGGGGGGGGGGGGGCAGAATGGATTCATGATCACTTTGCAGATTTCCTCCTCCGTCTCCACGTCTCCACCAGTCCACCCAACAATCCCCATGTTCCACCTGCCTCAACCCGCCCAGACACCCCACCCGGCCCAGAAGCCGTCGAAACCGCAACCCAGGCGCCCCCGATCACCGACTTGTTCTCGTAGACTTTGGTGTTGGCGCGCACCTCTGCCTCTTCGAGCCGGGTGGTGTGGAACCCGCATGTTGGATAGGGGCCCCGGCCAATCCCTCTTTAAAGTATTTTCCACCAAAGAAGATGTGACAGAAATCACAATTCGAACAACAAATTCTACGTCAGCTTGTCAAACAAAACCTGGTAATGCAATCCAACAACCATACTCTTTTTGTCGGGACTGTTCCCAAACATGCTGACCGCTTCCGAAAAACTGGGATGAAAATTGGTGGCATGTGAAAGATTCACTCTTGTGGGTTCCCCCTCCCCCCACAAATCAACTGGGGCCAGGTGTTCTGCCTATTTCGCCCCCAACTCAAAACACGGTTTGAAGCTGGCAACCGCGTTTGTGAACCGCCAAATGTGAATGAACGTGAAAAGAGGTGAATTCAGAAGAAAAGGGATACAAAAGAAAATGGCTACAAAGTAGTAGAAAGGTGCCGCACGGATCGCAAGCGCGACCAGTTGGGGCGTGAAACTACTTTGAATTAAAGCAGCATTTCCTCTCTTCCGTTTTTATAGGAAGGCTAACATCAGCATGACCAAAGGAAGCCCCAAAGGAAACCACAGGAAAAAACACATAGCGCCTGACACTTGACAGTGGGTGCGTTCAAGAGGAAACCCATCCAGGTGGTCAACAACAGACCTTCCAGATATGTGTGTGTATGCGTGTTTCTCGGGGAAAAAGGAAACCCGCCAATTTGGGGCTTCCCGTAGTTTGACGCAGATCAAAATGATCCCAAACTTGTGGGTTGTACGTGCCTCATGAAGATCCCGCCGATGCACCCAGCTCTGACGCTTGATCTTCCCGATGACCTCGAGGCCGAAGGTAAGGCTTGCTTGTTGGGAACACATTTGTTGGCAGGCGTGGTTGTTGGGAAAAAAAGGCGTTGTATTTGACTTTAAAGAGAATGCCACAGAAACCTGTGAAACTAGGGCTTCTCTCTCATATGAAGTGGTCCTGGCGGGGGTGAAGAAGGCAGACCAGCGGTTGCGAATGCGGCCCGGTCGGCTTGCGGAGCTGTTCCAAATTGCCACCTTCCGAAGTCTAGGAGGGTCTCATTTCATTCGAGGATAAACAGGCGCCCACAACTCATCAGCACTACGAGGTAAGCCCAGTTCAAACGCCACTCCCATGGCCCATAGTGGCTTTGACTTTGTGAAAGCGCGCGCGACATCTTGGGCCCATTTGGAACTCGAGGCAATCCGGATATCCAGCCCCATCCGCAGAGTCGCGCGTGAAGAGTCAAACATATCCATGTGAGCGTCGCTCTAAATGGAGAGCCCTTTTTGGAACCCGGAACCCTTAAAAGGACAAGCAGCCAGGGGTCAAAACGGGCCCTCAAGTTGAAACAACCCCAAGGAAGGCATGCAACTGCACCCGGTCTGAACCTTGCGCGCATGAGATCGACGCGCCTGCTGCAAAAGCTCCCGGTGAGATGCCATGAGCAGCAAGCAGGAATCCCAGCGCTCCTGGCGAGCGCTGCCCTTCCCGAGTTGCAACCGGTGCAGCCCGAAAGCTGGAACAGGGGGTTGCCACGACCAATCGGCCGCCCACCAAACAAAAGGAGACGTGGTACCACTAACCAACTGGGTGGCTGAAATGGCAAACCACCTGGATCCTTCTCTTCCAACCTTTCCAACCTTTCAAGTTACAAGTTACGGAAATGGGCGTGAGGATATGTCAAAGTGCAGGACCTCATCCAAGACGTGCCTTTTCATTGTAGCTGCTCAAAGGAACCACGTTCCTCTTTTTCACCAATCATGGAAGTGCACAAAACGTTGCTGGAAGACTAACATCAATTAAACACCTTGTAAGAAATAGGGAAACGGGTGAATCACACAGAAAGGCAATCCATGAAAGTGCATCGGAGTTCTGAAAGGAATTCATGCGAAGTCCTCTATGCGCAAACGCAAACCAACAATGGCTCTCTACCCCAGGGTCAGCCACAAAACCAGCCAACTGGATCCAGGATGCTCTCTTTTGAGGGGATTGGGGGGCGAATACCGTACTTCTACTGCTGGGGGCCAAACACTTAGGAGGCGCCCAGGGACCCCCTTGACGCTGGGAAGCGGCTTCACTCCTCCAGCGTCATCTCCCAGGTCCATTGCTTTGGGTCCAAGAGACCGCACACCTCCGCTTCTTGTGGCTCCTCCGAAAGACTCAGAAGCGGTTCGGCTTACGCGAGACGTCCTTTTTTTCGCCCTTGAAACACCCCACCCCAAAGCAAACTCGCTTGAAACTGGTGATCAATCTGACAGAAGTTAGAGCCCCAAAAAGCGAATAAAGCTACATCCACAACTCATATTGGTGTGGTGTGGGTTAACGTCAAAACGCGGGTCCTTGCTCCTAGACGAAGCCAGCAAAAATGTTTGACCGCTGTAGAACATGATCCAAAAGCAAAGTACAATAACAAAAGCACAACCCCTGACTCAGCAAAGAAGAAACCGCCTGAACAAGCAAAACAAAGAAACAATCCAACAACCCTGCCCAACAATGAACAGACATAGACAACCCGCCGGGTCGGAAACCGCCCGTGGCGGCGTGGCCTCGAAGATTGCCAGTCGTGGAAAGCAAAACTCAGAACGTTACGCCTCCCATTGCAGTGGGGAATGCAAGAATCAACCGCTATTTATAGTGTTTTCAAGGAAAAACACAATTTTACACCTCTCAGAACGCGTCTGTTTTGAGACCCTTTTTTGGGAGGTTTTTTTTTAACAAGCATCTTCTTCCACAGGCCGGCACTCTCAGCTCATGCGCTCTCAGCTCATATTTTTTCGAGCGCTTTTCCTGAGCTTGTCCAGCGTCTTGGCGGTCGCCACTTTCCTTTCTGCAAGTGACGCCATTGGTATGCCCGCATGTACAGCCAAATCTTGGGACTGCGAGAGCATTGGGGATGAAAGCCTTTATATTTCGCCAAGCGGGGTCGATCGTTCCCGTGTGCACAGAGAGCCTAGCACCATTGCGAGCGGCCTTCTTTTCAAACTCCCCTGTGGCGTGTGACATGACTCCGAGCTCGCGTGACCACGGAGGATAGCACCGCGCGCCATCCGTCAGCAGCCAAGTCTTCACTCCAGCAGAATCATGAGTCTCCACGTGGTTGAACGCGTCTGTCTTGCGAATCTTTCTCAAGCTCTCGGGAGGTGGCCGTTCTGCACTTCGGCCTCACCTAGAGATTACAGGCAGAGCTTCCTCGTGTTTCTCTCTAGCATTCCGAAAATCTGCAACTAAACCAACGAACTGGTCCCTTTTTTCCTCCAGTGCCTGAGCGATGTGCCGTCGCATTCTAGAAGCCCTCGGCACATCAACTTCTGCTGAGCCATGCGCGCGCAAGTCGCCTCTGCAGCAAGCGCGAGCAGCTTGCTCAAAAGAGCCCTGTGTGGACGCAGAAATGCCCAAGTGCCTGCCAATGTAGTCGGCGCCGGTCGGAGCACTCGTGCTCGTGAAGTGCAACTTCACCGCGTCTGCTACAGAAACAAAGAGACGAATATACTCCCCAAAACGTGTTCGCTTTACCTAGGAGCTTTGCATGAACTTCGGGAGACTCGAGCGGGACAGCGAAGCTTCTTCACACGTGCCACACTGGCGATCGCGACCGGGCGGGCCAATCTTCCAGCCAGAACATGGATCGCGGCCGCAATTGCTGGTTCAGGATTCGGGAAACGTGTCATTTCCCACTGCCACAAAGACCGCAAAGCTTCAAGTGCCAACGGAAGGCGGTCAAACCGGTGGCACCCCCTGACATTTAGGCAAACCACGCGTTGCACAAAGTCAGTCACCGAACCCGGCGGTGCTTGCTGCGCGAGCGCCTGCGAACAAACAAGCAAACTAGTCTTTTATGCAAAGAAAAGTCTTTGATTGGCACATTGAACAAGTCATTTCTGCGAAGAAAAGTCTCTTATTGGCGCAGTGTCTTTACATGTTTAAAGCCCATGGCCTGGTGAAAGTCATCGATTTCCGTGATGGGACGCAAAAAATGTCCGAACTGCCCACAGGGTCGCAGGTATGTTGTCCGCGGCCCAGCCCCGAACACGAAGTAGTATGATCAGGGCCAGAGATTCAACGGCCATGGCGTATGTCATGAAGGGCGGACTCGAAGAGTAGGGTTTCTGAGCCTCAAAAACATGTCCAACGGATAAAAAACATCGCCTGGCCTGATGGATGGTGTCAAACAAAAAGTTCAGGGTCGGAGGCTAAGTAACATTTCCAACGGATAAAACCATTCCCCCCCCCCCCAACCCCCCCACCCGAGCATTTTCGCAACGCCTACACGGGCGGTTGTTGGTCCGCTGGCAGAAACCCGCATAAACAAGCAAACACTGCAAATAATTCTGACTAAATTGAACAGAGCCAAAAAGAACACCAAAATCACAACCCTGAACCACAAAACAAAACAAACAGCTGATCGAAAGCACAAAGAACCTCGAAAGCCAAAACCAACGGAAAGGCGCAGCGGGTCCTCCAAGACCTCCTCGGCTTCCTCCACCGAGGACTCGTCGCTCCAGTCCGCCGTGTCAAACACCTGGCACAGAGGGAGCCGATTGAAGATACGGTGGATGCAAAAAAATACTGCAAGTGAACCAACACTAAGCCACAAATCATAGCAAATCCCGGTGAATTCAAGGGTTTCCTTGTTCCTGCAATATTTGGGGCATCCACCGTATCTCAACCTTCCTTGTCTCGGCTGGCAGCTTGGAATGGCCGTTTCGAGTTTTGCCCACAATGCCTGGAAGTTTCTGGTAGCCACACTTATATAGTGACCCTAAAATATACAACAACATGAAGGGAGATCCCTGGACCTTATTGAAATGATCAAGGGTTAAGTCCCTCATGGCCCCAAACAATTAAGGCAATCTCAACGTGTGCGTCATATCTCATCCATACAATATGTCCAACCCCCCCCCATAGAGGCTGGAGGACAGCTAGCTCATCTGTCTCCTTTCATCCACCGCCCACGAGCCAACAAAGAAATGGCTGTGTTCAAGGGTGATGGCGCTTCGGAAGCAACGTGGAAACATGCTTTGTCCAATCTGGTGGTGTTCTGGCACAACCTCGCACAAACCTGTCATAACCATCTTATCAGGGGTAAACCTTCTTCCTGGCTGAGGCTAGAGGAGCAAAACGAGCACTTTCACTGGATGGGCAAGCTGGGCTGTCCATGCCGTCCCTGAACCCGCCACGCCTCGCGCAGGTGTTGCAGCCCCTCCGCTTCCTCCACTTCGTCTTGGTTGTCATACCTCACTCGGGCCGAAGTGGGGATTGGGCTTGCGTGCTTCGAGGGATCGGTTGTTGGGAGGGATTGTGCTTGATAGTTCGATTTTTACTTAGAAGGTGATTTAGCTCCCCCCCCCCCAGCAATTCCTGTTTTGAGGTGGGTGGAATGTCCTCACTTCTTGAGGCTCCCAAACCTTCCCCGGCTCGTGCTTGAACTTTGAAGCCCCTGCTTCTGTGCTCGTGCGCGCGCTTAAGACCAAAATGGACAGACGAAGGCGCAATGGGACTGGTCCGCAAGGGAAAACTCGGACACCCAACAGGGATACTCGGCCCCTTCTGTGACAGCAAAGTGGTTGCTCGGCGGCTTGGGCGACCCACACTGAATGTGCGACAGCGGGAAGATAACTCACCCAAGGCTACCCAAGTCGCACCAGTCAGGGCTAATTTCCGGGCTCGTACATTCGGCCTTTCAAGGTGCACAATTGCAGGAGATAGGAATAGGACCAAAAAAACACTACTCTTCCGTCGTGATTCCGGATATGGCCGGCATGGGCGTATGGATTTGTCGAATACAACTATCCAGAACAGAAATACAGAGTAGTCGAACCAGTTGTTGGGTGCTGGATGAGATAAAACAAAATGAACGCTATTCTGGAGACGCTAGCCTCTTTGGGATGTGTTCCTGTAAGGGAGATCAAAAGGACATGGAGCATTGTTGATGGTGCCCCTGCCATTCTAGGGATGCCCAGGTCGGGAACGCCCTCCCCACCAAACGGACATGCACTTACAAACGGCCAGCGTGATTTTTAAGCTGGTCAAATGCGAATGCTTCGGACCCCTCCCTCCAAACATGGAAGCACACAGGCGAAGCCCTTTCCAAGGGGACGGTCAGTCTCCGAAAAAAGGCCTGCTTGTTGGTAGTAGGGGAGTTCCTTCATTCACTGGCAAAATATGCTGACGTCATCTCTTCCTGTGGAAGAATGCTGCAAAGTGGATCTCCCAGGCGTGGAAAACATATCCTCCATACTGTCACGCTGCACCAGTTGGACTTTGCCTACCGAGGTCAAAAGGGGAGCAAAGAGAAGAGACGCGACATATTTCATGATCAAACCTTCGCCGTGGCTCCATGAGAAGAAATTAGCGGCTGCCCCACCAATCTAAGGGATCCGCCCATGGCACGGGTCTGGCAACCTGCTTTCGATGAGTGGACTCGCTGGAAGAAAACAACAACGAACACCCCTGCGCAGAAGGAACCATGGAGGTCTGGGTTTGGACCAGTTGCAGAGCGCCTTTCTCCAAAAGGTCCTGGTAGATGGGCCTGATGCATTCAACCTAGGAGTCTTTGGGGTCAACTTGTGCTCCAAGTCCGAACATTTTCCGCCGAGAGGCCTGCCCTCCTCGATCTGTGGAGGACGGCCTTCAGATGACGCCACCGAGGCAAAGTCCTCCGCCTCTTCCGCCTCTTCCGGCGCCGCCGGCGCCTCTTCCGGCGCCGCCGGCTCCGAGGGCTCCGGCGGCTCCGGCAGCTCCGGCTCCTGGGAAGAGGTTCTCCAAGCGGAAACTTGGGACAATGGAGGCGCACAAAACGTCCACGGGACACGGAGAAAGCATGATACGAAGAACCAAACGTAGTGGGGATCTTGAAAACTGCAGGAGGAAGCCTGTACTTGGCACAAAGAAGCTTCGAGGAGCCTGTCTTGAGGTCCAAAGATCGGGTCATGTCCAAGTGTCTTGGCTGATTCACAGGCCATAGAAACAGAGACCGTTGGGCTCATGGAAAAATCCAAACTTGTGTATGTGTTCACTGAAACGAGTGTCGGTGTCGGGGTTGGGGATTCGGGACCTAGTGTCTCATCGGCTTGGCATGCTCACACGCCACAAAAGCATGATAGAATCGGGTGTATTCAGATGATTGTCCATTTGCTTGAAGTTCTACAAACAAAATCATTAGTCGTGGTCGTGTGACGAGCAAAGAAAAGCTATATTAAGCAAGTGAAGTGGTTATGAAGCCGGACTCTGCAGTTGTACTTGCCTGTAAAGTTCCTGGGCAAAGCTCCGACCCAACCAAATCATGGGCTTCGTTGAATCTGGGGTACTTTCCTCCCCAAACAAGAAGCCATCTTCAACTGAATCTGTCGTTCTACCGCCCGAGTGAGCTCCCTGCATTTTTGCTAATCTCTGGAAATCAAGAAGCTTGGGACCTCACAACGGCCCTTTTGGAGGTCCAAAACCTTCCCATGCATGGGGAGTAATAGTCCAAAGCCTAAAAGACTCGCCAAAAATCCTGCAAGTTGATTGATGTCCAAGACCCAAATCAACACGTGGTGTGTGTGTGTGTGAGTCTCATGTTTCCTCTTGTTCAGGACACTTTTTGATGCCGCAACCACTTCTGTGATTGGCGGATTGGCCTTCCCAATCGATCGAAGTGGGAACCATCCAACCTCAATCCCATGAACGTCCAAATCAAAAACTGGTACCAAAGGGGGTCTACCCAAGACCATGTCAAGAATCAAAAGAGCAGATATTTGCATCCATGGCTGGGGCGTTCACCCCGACTCACCTTCAACTACCCAGGCGTTGATTTGCGGTTCTTCAGTCAACTTATATATATATATATAAATATGTTTCTGTTTTTGATGAACGCCTCTTGTGCGGACGGGCAAAGGAACCAAAGGGTTTCCAATCTATACATGTTGTCTATTTCTTGTTGTTGTCCCTTGCGCCGAAGACAAAACCGGGCCGAAGGGAAAAGGACAACAGTCGACGCCTTCGCCTTCACGGGCTGGTAGAAGGACTGTGGCCCCTTGGCTCGGACAGCAGAAACTCTGTCTTGCCACCCATGGCCATGGCACCCAAGGCATGGGAGGGCGCCTGGAAGATCAATTCTTGAAGGGACATGTCAGGTTCCATATTTGGGGAGGGAGGGCAGACATGATAGGCATGGGTCAAGAATATGTGCTTCGCCTAGGGATCTTTATGTACAGTTGGCTGAATTCCTTGTCTGGGGAAGGACTGGCGCCAAGTTAAGGGGTCATTTGACCAGGTCACATGTGAACTAGCCAAACAAGAAGACAAAGAGAAGCAAACGAAAAATATGGGCTGACCAAACAAAAGATAAAGAGAGGGCAAGCAAACATTTTAACTAGCCAAACAAAGAGCCAAACAAAGAGACAAAGAGAAGGCAAGGAAACATATTCAAAAAGCCATGGAGAAACAAAAACTGTACTGAAAGGGAAAACAAATTGGGACTTCAGCTCCGGCATCCCCTTCCCCATTCACACCGTCAACCAAGGGAGGGCTCCTTTCAAAGCCAAACGCGGCCTCATTGACTCACAACTGTCGCTCTCTGGAAACACGTCCACGATCCCCAAACCACCCCCAGCAACTTCATGGAGGGCCGCTAGCCGCTTTGGAAGGGCTACCGTTTTTCCCCTGAAGTGATTTGGAACTGTTTTAAACAGGAGAAACGGATTTTGCAAAAAGCGCTTGGCCTTTGAGGGCTGATTCACACGCAAACACTCAGGTAATATAGCACAAAGGGAGAACGGAAACAACCATTCCAGAGATGGCTTGTTCAAATTGCAGAGCAAATGAGTCGCGATCAACGCCTGGTACTAAAAGGGTCTATCAAAAGGGCGGTCGCACCTACGATTTTCTGACATGATCCAAAAGCTAAGTTTGCGTGTTGGCATCAGCTTGAACCTTTGGGCATTAATTTACATATATATATATATATAATATATATACACCCTTTCAGTGGAACTAGAGCAGGTGGGAGGCTCCAAGTGCATTCATAACTCTTGGCCCCGCCTGGCTCGCGTGCGCCTGGAAGGAGTCTTTCGCAGGAGCATGCGCATTGCAGAAGTTGGACCCCGGCATGGCTCTCGACTTGCACGGTTTTTTCTTCTTGGTCAAGCCCTGGCAAGTTGTCGTCTCCGGCCGCACAGGAGGCTCATCCTCACCTTGGCATAACTGCCCCACATGCTTCCGACGTGGTGCCATTAACCCTCCAAGTCAACTCCAGTGCGACTGGCAGGCCGTGATTTCGAAAGAGCTAATCAGTGGTCAAAGCCTGCTTTGTCCGGGGAAGCTTGGAATGAACGCTTCGACTTCAGCATTTCGCCTCGCTTAGATTCTGGTCCATGTTTAGTGAACCTTCAGATGTAGATATCCTATGACCCACGGACAACACGTTTCCCAAGAGGGCCTGGGAAGATTGAAATGTCTCTGGTTTTTGGGAAGCTTGGGTTGTCCTATGTCCTGACGTCTTGTTCCATCTGGCAGCAAGAACCCGGCAAGCCTTGCGCAAAATGAAATCCCAACCCCAAACTCCCAAACCGGATTCAGGATCAGATTGAGCTGGGGAAAATGGTTCCCGCAAATAAAATGCCCTTTGATTTCCCTTCAACACAACCCCAAACACCCGGAATAAACAAACGCACACCATATGGCTGATACAGAAAGCCTTCCTCTGCTCTCGTTGAGTGGTTGATTCCCATCCAACCATGGCTATCACTCAACTCAAAAGCGGATATCCTCCCTCACATGAAACCTATCCGAGGGCTCTTGGAGCGCTCCATGTTAGCGAGGGCATCGCATCGCAACGCCCCCAACTTTCCACCTTCAAACTACTCGAGTTCCCAAGGAATCCAAAGAATCTTTGCGGGTGAGCGCTTGAAAAACCGGCCCCGCTTGGCCAGAATGAGTCAATATGAGTCATTTCCACCGGGAGCCCCGGCTGCCAGAAGCCAGCTCGGCCTCGGCCACTTCGGCCACCCGCCATCGCCTCAACCGATCGGGGACTGGCCCAGGGACCCGACGTTTCCCATCGAAATCTCCCAACCAATCATTGAGTCATCCGTGGCAAACAAAACTTAAAGGCCATACTACCATGATGAGCAAATTTAAGAAGGGGCATCCGTGGCAAACAAAGTTTAAAGGCCATACTACCATGAGGAGCAAATTTAAGAAGGGGCATCCGTGGCAAACAAAGTTTAAAGGCCATACTACCATGAGGAGCAAATTTAAGAAGGGGCATCCGTGGCAAAACAAAGTTTAAAGGCCATACTACCATGAGGAGCAAATTTAAGAAGGGCATCCGTGGCAAACAAAGTTTAAAGGCCATACTACCATGAGGAGCAAAATTAAGAAGGGGCATCCGTAGCAAACAAAGTTTAAAGGCATACATACCATGAGGAGCAAATTTAAGAAGGGGCACCGTTGCAAACAAAGTTTAAAGGCCATATCCCATGAGGAGCAAAATTTTAAGGAAGGGGCATACGTGGCAAACAAAGTTTATAAGGCCATACTTACCTGGGAGCAAATTTAAGAAGGGCATCCGTGGCAAACAAAGTTTAAAGGCCATACTACCATGAGGAAGCAAATTTATGAAGGGGCATTCCGTAGGCAAACAAAGTTTCTAAGGCCATACTACCATGAGGAGCAACTTTAAGAAGGGGCATCCGCAAGCAACGTTTTAAAGGCATACTACATGAGGAGCAAATTTATGAAGGGGCATCCGTGGCAAACAAAGTTTTTCAAGGCCATACTACCTGATGAGGTTTTTTAAAATTTAACAAAGGGCTTCCGTGGCAAACAAAGTTTAAAGGCCTTACTACCATAGGCGCAAATTTAGAAGGGGCATCCGTTACAAAAACAACCTTAAAGGCCTCACTACTGATGAGCATATTTAAGAAGGGGCATCCGTGGCAACAAAGTTTTAAAGGCCATACTACCATGAGGAGCAAATTTAAGATGGGGCATCCGTGGCAAACAAAGTTTAAAGGCCATACTACCATGAGGAGCAAATTTAAGAAGGGGCATCCGTGGCAAACAAAGATTAAAGGCCATACTACCATGAGGAGCAAATTTAAGAAGGGGCATCCGTGGCAAACAAAGTTTAAAGGCCATACTACCATGAGGAGCAAATTTAAGAAGGGGCATCCGTGGCAAACAAAGTTTAAAGGCCATACTACCATGAGGAGCAAATTTAAGAAGGGGCATCCGTGGCAAACAAAGCTTAAAGGCCATACTACCATGAGGAGCAAATTTAAGAAGGGGCATCCGTGGCAAACAAAGTTTAAAGGCCATACTACCATGAGGAGCAAATTTAAGAAGGGGCATCCGTGGCAAACAAAGTTTTTTAAAGGCCTACTACCTATGAGGAGCAAATTTAGAAGGGGATCCGTAGGCAAACAAAAGGTTAAAGGCCATACCTTCATGAGGAGCAATTTACGAAGGGGATCCCGTGGCAAACAAAAGTTAAAGGCCATACTACCCATGAGGGAGCAATATTTTCAGAAGGGGGCAAAAGTTGGCAAACAAACTTAAAGCTGATGGTAACTTGAAGAGCTCAATTCAACAAAGGGGCATCGTGGCAAACAAAGTTTAAAGGCCATACCTACCATGATGAGTAAATTTTTTTAACAAGGGGCTATCCGTGGCAAACAAAGTATAAAGGCCATACTACCATATGAGGAGCAAATTTTAAGAAGGGCATCCGTGGCAACAAAGCTTAAAGGTCCATACTAACCATGAGGAGGCACATTTAAGTAGGGGCATCGTGTGCAAACAAAGTTATAAGGCCATACTACCATGAGGAGCAAATTTAAGAAGGGGCATCCGTGGCAAACAAAGTTTAAAGGCCATACTACCATGAGGAGCAAATTTAAGAAGGGGCATCCGTGGCAAACAAAACTTAAAGGCCATACTACCATGATGAGTAAATTCAACAAGGGGCATCCGTGGCAAACAAAGTTTAAAGGCCATACCTACCATGATGAGTAAATTTAACAAGGGGCTTCCGTGGCAAACAAAGTTTAAAGGCCATACTACCATGAGGAGCAAATTTAAGAAGGGGCATCCGTGGCAAACAAAGCTTAAAGGCCATACTACCATGAGGAGCAAATTTAAGAAGGGGCTATCCGTGGCAAACAAGTTTCAAGGCCATACTACAATGAGGAGCAAATTTAAGAAGGGCATCCGTGCGCAAACAAAGTTTCACGGCCATACTACTATGATGAATAAATTTAACAAGGGGCACGTGGGCAAACAAAGCTTAAAGGCCATACCATGAGGAGCAAATTTTAGAAGGGGCATCCGTGGCAACATAAGTTTAAGGACCCATACTACCATGAGGCGAAGGGATGCGAAGGGGATCCGTGGGCAAAATGGTGGCCAAGGCCATCCTACAATGTATGAGTAATTTAACAAGGGGCATCCGTGGCAAACAAAGTTTAAAGGCCATACTACATGAGGAGAAATTTAAGAAGGGGCATCCGTGGGCAACAAAGTGTAAAGGCCATACTACCATGATGAGTAAATTTAACAAGGGGCATCCGTGGCAAACAAAGTTTAAAGGCCATACTACCATGAGGAGCAAATTTAAGAAGGGGCATCCGTGGCAAACAAAGTGTAAAGGCCATACTACCATGATGAGTAAATTTAACAAGGGGCATCCGTGGCAAACAAAACTTAAAGGCCATACTACCATGAGGAGCAAATTTAAGAAGGGGCATCCGTGGCAAACAAAGTTTAACAGGCCATACTACCTATGAGAGAGCAAAAATTTAAGACGGGCCGTCGTGGCAACCAAAAGTTTAATAGGTCCTCATTTCCTACCATGAGTGAGCAAATTTAAGAAGGGGCATCCGTGGCAAACAAAGTTTAATAGGCCATATACCATGTGAGTAACTTTAACATGGGCATCCGTGGCAAACAAGTTTAAGGCCATATACCATGATGAGGAAATTTAACAAGGGGCTTCCGTGGCAAACAAAGTTTAAAGGCCATACTACCATGATGAGTAAATTCAACAAGGGGCATCCGTGGCAAACAAAGTTTAAAGGCCATACTACCATGATGAGTAAATTTAACAAGGGGCATCCGTGGCAAACAAAACTTAAAGGCCATACTACCATGATGAGTAAATTTAACAAGGGGCATCCGTGGCAAACAAAGTTTAAAGGCCCCATATACCATGATGAGTAAATTAAAAAAATTAACAAGGGGCATCCGTGGCAAACAAGTTTAAAGGCCATACTACCATGAGGAGCAAATTTAAGAAGGGGCATCCGTGGCAAACAAAGTTTAAAGGCCATACTACCATGATGAGTAAATTTAACAAGGGGCATCCGTGGCAAACAAAGTTTAAAGGCCATACTACCATGAGGAGCAAATTTAAGAAGGGGCATCCGTGGCAAACAAAGTTTAAAGGCCATACTACCATGATGAGTAAATTTAACAAGGGGCATCCGTGGCAAACAAAGTTTAAAGGCCATACTACCATGATGAGTAAATTTAACAAGGGGCATCCGTGGCAAACAAAGTTTAAAGGCCATACTACCATGATGAGTAAATTTAACAAGGGGCATCCGTGGCAAACAAGTTTAAAGGGCCATACTACCATGATGAGTAAATTTAACAAGGGGCATCCGTGGCAAACAAAACTTAAAGGCCATACGACCATGATGAGTAAATTTAACAAGGGGCATCCGTGGCAAACAAAGTTTAAAGGCCATACTACCATGAGGAGCAAACTTAAGAAGGGGCATCCGTAGCAAACAAAGTTTAAAGGCCATACTACCATGAGGAGCAAATTTAAGAAGGGGCATCCGTGGCAAACAAAGTTTAAAGGCCATACTACCATGATGAGTAAATTTAACAAGGGGCATCCGTGGCAAACAAAGTTTAAAGGCCATACTACCATGAGGAGTAAATTTAACAAGGGGCATCCGTGGCAAACAAAGTTTAAAGGCCATACTACCATGATGAGTAAATTTAACAAGGGGCATCCGTGGCAAAACAAAGTTTAAAGGCCATACTACCATGATGAGTAAATTTAACAAGGGGCATCCGGGGCAAACAGTTTAAATACCATGATGCAAGGGGCATCCGTGGCAAAAAGTTTAAAGGCCATAGGGAGTAATTTAACAAGGTCCGTGGCAAACAAAACTTAAAGGCCATACTACCATGATGAGTAAATTTAACAAGGAGCATCCGTGGCAAACAAAGTTTAAAGGCCATACTACCATGAGGAGCAAATTTAACAAGGGGCATCCGTGGCAAACAAAGTTTAAAGGACATACTACCATGAGGAGCAAATTTAAGAAGGGGCATCCGTGGCAAACAAAGTTTAAAGGCCATACTACCATGATGAGTAAATTTAACAAGGGGCATCCGTGGCAAACAAAACTTAAAGGCCATACTACCATGATGAGTACATTTAACAAAGGGCTTCCGTGGCAAACAAAACTTAAAGGCCATACTACCATGATAAGAAAATTTAAGAAGGCCATCCGTGGCAAACAAAGTTTAAAGGCCATACTACCATGATGAGTAAATTTAACAAGGGGCATCCGTGGCAAACAAAACTTAAAGACCATACTACCATGAGGAGCAAATTTAAGAAGGGGCATCCGTGGCAAACAAAGTTTAAAGGCCATACTACCATGAGGAGCAAATTTAAGAAGGGGCATCCGTGGCAAACAAAGTTTAAAGGCCATACTACCATGATGAGTAAATTTAACAAGGGGCATCCGTGGCAAACAAAACTTAAAGGCCATACTACCATGATGAGCAAATTTAAGAAGGCGCATCCGTGGCAAACAAAGTTTAAAGGCCATACTACCATGATGAGTGAATTTAACAAGGGGCATCCGTGGCAAACAAAGTTTAAAGGCCATACTACCATGAGGAGCAAATTTAAGAAGGGGCATCCGTGGCAAACAAAGTTTAAAGGCCATACTACCATGATGAGTAAATTTAACAAGGGGCATCCGTGGCAAACAAAACTTAAAGGCCATACTACCATGATGAGCAAATTTAAGAAGGGGCATCCGTGGCAAACAAAGTGTAAAGGCCATACTACCATGATGAGTACATTTAACAAAGGGCTTCCGTGGCAAACAAAACTTAAAGGCCATACTACCATGATAAGAAAATTTAAGAAGGCCATCCGTGGCAAACAAAGTTTAAAGGCCATACTAGCATGATGAGAAATTTTAAGAAGGGAACAAAACGTAAACGCCATACTACCATGAGGAGCAAATTTAAGAAGGGGCATCCGTGGCAAACAAAGTTTAAAGGCCATACTACCATGATGAGTAAATTTAACAAGGGGCATCCGTGGCAAACAAAGTTTAAAGGCCATACTACCATGATGAGTAAATTTAACAAGGGGCATCCGTGGCAAACAAAACTTAAAGGCCATACTACCATGAGGAGCAAATTTAAGAAGGGGCATCCGTGGCAAACAAAGTTTAAAGGCCATACTACCATGATGAGTAAATTTAACAAGGGGCATCCGTGGCAAACAAAGTTTAAAGGCCATACTACCATGATGAGTAAATTTAACAATGGGCTTCCGTGGCAAACAAAACTTAAAGGCCATACTACCATGATGAGTAAATTTATGAAGGGCATCCGTGGCAAACAAAGTTTAAAGGCCATACTACCATGATGAGTAAATTTAACAAGGGGCAATCCATGGCAAACAAAGTTTAAAGGCCATACGACCATGACGAGCAAATTTAAGAAGGGGCATCCGTGGCAAACAAAACTTAAAGGCCATACTACCATGAGGAGTACATTTAACAAGGGGCATCCGTTGCAAACAAAACTTAAAGGCCATACTACCATGAGGAGCAAATTTAAGAAGGGGCATCCGTGGCAAACAAAACTTAAAGGTCATACTACCATGATGAGTAAATTCAACAAGGGGCATCCGTGGCAAACAAAGTTTAAAGGCCATACTACCATGATAAGTAAATTTAAGAAGGGGCATCCGTGGCAAACAAAACTTAAATTCCATGCTACCATGATGAGTACATTCAAGAAGCGGCTATCCGTGGCAAACAAAGTTTAAAGGCCATACTACCATGATGAGTAAATTTAAGAAGGGGCATCCGTGGCAAACAAAGTTTAAAGGCCATACTACCATGATGAGTATATTTACAAACAAAGTTTAAAGGCCATACTACCATGATGAGTAAATTTAACAAGGGGCTTCCGTGGCAAACAAAACTTAAAGGCCATACTACCATGATGAGTAAATTCAAGAAGGGGCATCCGTGGCAAACAAAACTTAAAGGCCATACTACCATGATGAGTAAATTTAAGAAGGGGCATCCGTGGCAAACAAAGTTTAAAGGCCATACTACCATGATGAGCAAATTTAAGAAGGGGCTTCCGTGGCAAACAAAGTTTAAAGGCCATACTACCATGATGAGCAATTCCAAGAAGGGGCATGTCAGAACCCCTCTGCTCACACGGAGCAACACAACTGACACTTGTTCCACCCATTCACATTCACAGCAATTCGGTCAACGGGTTGCCGGTATAGCACAACGTCATAGACACATGTTGGACAGTGTCCAAGGAAACACAGAAGACATACGGATCTGGAAGATTGTGGTGTCGCAAGACATACTTGTCCTATGCCGGTTGAGTGATCCCGAGCTTTTCCTTGAATTCACAATGCGAATGGTACAGTATACGCCCTTGTTGATGGAAGCCCGTTGCCTCAAGGAGCAGACAGTTGGCATCATGGGGCAGCAGCGGCAGCGCACGTTGAGCAAACGACATGGGTGAGCTCGTCTTCAACAGGGAGCACACCAAAATTGGCCCAGATTCAATATCCCGGAGAGTAAAATTCCACGTTCATATGCTAGAGTCTCTCCACGAAATACGCGGAGGGGCTATTCTTCTTGCTTTGCAGCCTGAGATGATTACGACATACTAGCCCGGATTTGGGCCCCCAAACACGCGCGATGCATGCCAATCAACTGAAGCGGGCTGGGGACCACATGCTTAGTTCGCCAGAAATCGCAACTGTTCAAAGCAAACAGAGAGCGAGACAGAGAGAAAGAGAGAGCGAGAGAGAGATACAACCACTGCAGCATACATGCCAAGGCACCCCGGCCGCATCACGTTGTGGAAATGTTTCTTGCAGAAGGGGATGTACGAGGACACCGCCTTGTTCGCGCAGGGCTTGCCGTCGTCCTCGGCGCGGCAGCGCAGGTCGTGATCCTCGCAGTAGGACTTCTCCGGCAGCGCCGGCTTCAAGCAGCGGGTGCATAGCCTGAGTGACAACCAAAACCAGGTAGGTAGAGGAGTCCACCCAAAGCGTGAAGAATCAAGGCCGCGCTCGTCTATTGAGACTATACCAAATATTGGTGTGACCTTAAAAAAAACGAAATGGGGTTGAGTACTTTGGGACCGAAAAAAGATCCCAGGAGCGAAAGGTGAGGCTCAGTGGTTTACTCTAGGACTCATGTTCAGGATTGCTCCCATTGGACCCTGTAGGGTGGAAAGCTCGTGGAAAGTCAAAGGTAAAACCAAACAACCCAACTCCAAATCTTTACCTTTGGTATGCTCCCACAAGGGTCTGGCTGCACACCAATTTCAAACAAGGGTCTGGTTTGCCTTTTGGTTTGCAGGATGTCGGTTGCACCCAATTCCAAGCTTATCCCATGCCTTTGGATAGGCAGTTGCTTTAGAAGGGAGCAACTTGTGGATGGCGCAATTGTTCTTTGGGCTCTATCCAAGGGTGCAAAAAATCATAAGCCAGGAACAAATATCTACCCAGCGTGCTTTCGGCTCTGGCCCTCAACAACCCCGGTTCAACCGCAAACGCAAATCAAAGCGTGGCGCAAAAGCTGCGACTTTTTGGTTGCGCCAAGCCGCGCGTGCTTTTTGCAAACGTTCCTCGGGGGCGCGTCTTTGGCCATCAACGCCTTGTCCCCGAGCTTGAGGCAAGTGAAGCAGGCGTGGGTCTTGCAAAAGTCCTGCGCCCAAAACTGTCCTTGGGGGTTCCTGGATTCAGTGAACATCGATTCGACTAGTTGCCAGTGAGATGCCTGTGTTGCACGGCAAGCGGTCCTTCAAAACGTGCTCAGGAGACTTCCAGTGGTCACTACCCTCCTGAAGTTGATCAGTCTACTGGTGTGTGCCAACTTGCTCCTTATCACAGCAGTTGGAACGCCCTCCCTCATTATCTTTGTCCCTGTGATTCCTTGCCCAGGGCCCAGGGCCCTCCTGTCAACATGGAGCAGTGACACCAAAATGAATGATTCTCATGACTATATCACGCTTGAGGGGATTCCCTTGTCAAAAGAAAAGTGGCGATCACCATGCCCAGTCATCCTCAACCATGCCCCCCACAGCCACCCGCCCTGCCCTGACCTCCCCCACCAGCTTCCGGTAGGGACAGTCGTCCGCGCCACAGGCGTGGTCTGCACAGGCCCGGCGCCCGGGCACCACCGGCTGGCGGCACCAACTGCAGTCCTTGCAGATCTACAGCCGGCCCGGAAAAATGAAAAATGCCCTCGGCTGGCAGTTGCGCGATTGATCTACGCCGATCTCCACAACATGGGGTGGACAGGTAGTTGTTTTGCCATTGAGGCCTATGTTTCAAACCCTGCCACCCCATAACGCTTGGTTGCTGTCCGATCATACCGCTCACTCCTTTGGGTTTTATCTTCAAGGGTCCAGTCCTCTGAACTTTAAGAAGCAAAAACCGGTTCAAGGAGATCGGACTGCAAAGTTGGGGCGTGATATGTGCAGAGCGCCACGTATGTCCCCAAATTGGCATCACCTAAAACGTTCAAATTGGCCTAGGTAAATCTGGATCCTGCTTTGCCCAGGACAACTCAGGGTGCGCAGGGAAGACATGTGGACCAAGGATAAGAACGCTGAGAACAGAGCCACACAGGCGCAAGGCACGAAGAAGAGACGTGCCAGAGAGATCAAGCCCTTCCGCAAGGGCGGAGTTGAAAGGATGAGAGTAAGGAGCGAAGCCCCAAATGGCTCTGAAGAATTCGAGCAGGAGAACACCTCCTTATCAACCCCCACAGTACCCCAGTGCACCTGAAGCGTGGGCCCGATTCAATCAGACCTCGCTGTCTGAAACCCGGAATATCAAGTGACCACTTTAGTCCACAAGGATTCGTACCTCTAGGTTTTGCCTGGGGCAAGGGGATCCAATCGCCGGCCATTTTCACCCAATTGGCCTCCCGCTTCCCGCTCCTCCAGGTCAAAGCAGCACCGGTGCTTTTCCTCGGAGGCACCAAGCGTTTTGGCCCATGGATTGCCATCAAGGCGAAGTGTGAGCGAGCAAAAGCAGCTACCAACCCGACAAATCCACTCTGGCATTTGGCCGTCCCGGGCCTTAGCCTAAGATTTCATCTGAGCATTATTGCAATTGCCCTAAAATTGAAAGTGCGGCACGAGGAAATCTGTTTCAACAGTTGTCCGGGTTTTGGATGTTCCGGCTTTGTATTCCGTTACCGCCCGGCTTTGTCTGCTCCACACATCTGGGGGTTGTGCAAAATTGCTTCTCCTGGTCCCACTTTTCGCCAACCTCGGGTACTAGGAGCTTCTGGCGAGTTCGAGAGCCTTAGGCCATACCTGGGTGGTAAGGGTGGATTCCCTCCCATGGCCACCCCGAGTTGAAAGGCTAGCAATTGGCCTTGAGCATCCCTTTGGGGCGCCAAAGAACGCGCCCTTGTGAACCAACTCAGGAAAGGCTTCAGGCTTCGTCAGTCAAGCATCGCAAAGCGGGGCTTCCTCGTCGTAGGCCAGATCAGGGCAGAAGGGCGGATAGGCGCACATTGGGAGAGGCCGGTCACCGCGGATGAACATGTACAGAATCTCGCCTGCGCAGCAGGAGCCTTTTGCAAACAGGCACATCTCCCCTTATGGGTGTGTCGTATTGTTTTTGCTTTTTAAGGGGACAACCCCAAACGGGGGTTTTCTCCCATTAACACCAAAAAAGGGGTAGCAAGAAATGCACCCTCCCTTCTCAGTCCCCTAAGAGAGACCTAAGGAACCTTGAGGTCCAAATTCCAGTGGAGATCGTCACCTCATCATTTTTTGAGGCGGGAAGATGCCTCGGGAAGCTCACAGCTGACTCGCAATGACAAATATAGGGCTGTTGGATGCGGATGTGTGATCGCCCAAATTAGGAACTCCTCGCGGTTGAAGGGTGATAATGGAATCAGCATGGAGAAGCCAAATGGAGGGGTTCTGCAATTCTGCCATGAACAGCCCAAATAAAGTTGATGAAAATGTTTGCGGTCACTCAAAAAGAAGTCCAAGTGGGTGTGTCTTAAAATAGGGCAGCCCCAAAAATGCGTGGCGTCCCTCCTTTTTCCTTTCAAACAACCCAAAAAGGGTAGCTTGTTTTCTTAAAGAAGAGAGGAGACACCCCCCTTAAGTTTGGTGGTACCTCAAGGTGGTGCTTTGCCGAATCGGCCTGGATCATCGTACTGATCGAAGCCTAAATCCACATAGTGCTGGATGCCCTCTTTCAGCTTCAAGATCTCTTGCTGCACCTGCGGGGCACGGCAGCTGAGTTCCTTGTCGCCTGGCAGAAGAAAAATATGCGATGCTCAGTGGACCGGTAAAAGAAGCACCGCAAAGAAGTCGTGTCTGTCAGCTGGGAAAAGGGGCTTCCCGGAAATGAAGTCTTCGCCTGCGTAATCCTCAATTTTACACAGGAACCTTGCGACATGTTCTCGGGAAACTTGGAATGACGCTCTACCAACCACTGTCGGGTTCTTCGGGAATGGTTGGGAGCTTCATGCCTATATTCCCTGCTAACAGGCAACGAGCAGGTGCTGGAAGCGAGACCGCGGGTCAGAATTCGCAACCTGTCCGTCCTTGCTGCGAGGGTACCCGGATGTCCGCGAATCATCCCATCCCATAAGACCTCAAAGCCGGCCTTTTGGGGCTTGATCTTCCGATTGGTTTTCCGCCCGTGAGGGTCGCTCAGGTCCTCCCTGATGAAGTCCAAGTCCCAGCACAGCTGCAGGTCCTGAGAGGCAGATCCAAAGTCCGCACTCCGCATGCCGCACGTTATTCTTTTTTGGCAACCTCTGAAACGTTCGGGCGTTCCGCTGGCTTCCCAAACCATTCACAAAAATGTCCAAAAAAGAAATGGAACTGGACGCCACACAAATTCACCAGCATGGCGCACGTCTCAAGCCGACCAGGGATGCCCGACGGTGTTTTTTTCCAGTTGGACGCCGGACTTGGCGGGTCTTCGATGTTCACCTTCCCAAACACGGAAGAGAGGTCTCTGTTGGTGGAACATGGTCTTCCCGGGGGGCCCCCCAGGTTTCATGTTTGGTTTCGGGGAGGGCGCATGGTGATTTACATCCATCGGCCACTTTCGGAGCCACTTTCGGAGCTCCCATTGAATATTAGCTATAACTATTAGAGCTCCAAAGCCCGAATTCTGCGAAAGCACCTTGAACAACTCTGCACTTTAAATCCGAGTCTCCGCGTTGCCAATGCCTGGCTTTGTCAGCAATCAGTCTGCGCCACTGGTTTGACCAAACTGTGCACCGGCACCGACCCCCCGTTCTCCGGCCGCGCGGCGTCTTCCTTTTCCAGGGCGGCTTGGATCACATTGCATCGAATCACCGTGGCCTGGCGCGCTCGAAGAACCCGCGAAGCGACGCCACGGATGAACATTCTTCTGGACCCCTCTTCGAATCTCAGCTCGAGGTGTCCCTAAAGAGAAACATGGCCTCAAACAAGGCGCGGTGCCTGGGGAAAATCGCAACCACCCTGCAACATATGCAAATTGCTTCCTTCCAGGACTGGAATGTCAGTGTGCTGTGTCCCAACCAAGGTGGCTGTTTGGATGTTGCACAAACACAGTCAGCTTTGACATGATCGTAACGTAACCGAGCAGGGGGTGGCTTCATGCCAGCACCAATTGAGCACGCATCCCTTCCTCTTAAAACATCGCTCCAGAGAGATGCTTCACCGGCTCTCAAGAGAAATTCCAAGTCCTCTTGATGCTTTGCACGCCATCGTCCAAACCCTTGAAAATGCAATCCCCCCAGCGATAAACAACGTTTCCCCTCCCCCCAACAGGCTTCCAGTCAAGTTGAATCAGCGGACCCCCATCCTTTCCTTGATACTTCTTCCTGGAAATATGTTCATGGACCAAACACACACAGCACTGGAAACCAATATTGAGCATGAACAAGGGGCCCCTAATAAACACAACAGTCGTTCGGCCCTCCAATATGGCAAGTGCGGGGGAGGGATGTCGGGAGAAATGAGTAGCGCTTACTATAACTCTCCCACATGGACTCTGTTGAAAGCCTTTCAGCCTTTGAAGAAACGTGCCAAGTGGCTCAAAGCGGGCACCCATGCCAAAAGCAAAGTCGTAAGCCAAAAAGACATGCACTTGAGTCCAGCCCTGAAACCAACCTCCAGCACCTCCACCCACCCACCCCATGGCCATGAGCATCTCGGTAGCCGCATAGGCGCACCTGTTGCCTGGGCAGTCCAAATCGCTGGTGAAGGGCGCGAGTGGGGCGTGCGAAAGGCGAGAGGCTCTTGTATCAAGCGACAAGAAGCACGTGACGTGCATTGTGCCGACCAAAACCGAATAAGGCTCTGGTGTTGCTTTCTTCAGATAACATGCAATTGAGCTATTGTCCCACCTTAAAAACTAGAGTGACATGGGAACGCCGATCCAAGCGGACAGGAAGACCGCAATGGTTCCACCGAGCTTCGGAAATTGTTGAGCAGAATGCTGTGTGTAATGTGAGCCAACACTGAACAAACAAGGCCTCACTAACAAGCCAGCCAGGTTGAATTTCACCCTCGGAGCGGCTCAGCTTGCTTCAACCGACAAACTAACTCCTCGGGCAGGTTTCAGCGTGACCTTGTGGCGCTTTCTGTGCGCGCGTGTGCTCTCACACCCCAATTATTTTTGGGAATGGAGTGTTGCATGCGTTCAAGGGACTGACGCCTATCCCGGCAATGAACGGCCCTGGGAAGCATCTGATGCAAGGTACAAACTGCAGTCCAGGCGCGTTTCTTCTGAGCAGCATCGCTCTGGTCTTGCCCTCGATCAAACATATCGGCCTGGGCCAGTCTGCTGATTGTGGAAACGGCCATGATCGAGCCAAACTCAAGCGGCAACGCCAAGTGGACCATTTGGTTCCTTTTATCCTCTCCACGCTAGGAGAGACCTGCGCAAGGATGACGAGCTGTTGAGTTAAGGGAAAACCAGAACCATCATTTTGGGGCACGTGACTCACTCGAGGGCTGGAGGGAAGCGCTTGGGTGGCGGGCGAGGGTGCGGCAGAGCTAACCTTACAGCATGCGCCTGGTCAACAAGTTCGCTTGTCTGCCTCCAAGTCTTCAGTGATTGAACCGCGCAAAGGTTGAGAAGGATAGCACTCTAATCTGTGTGTGTGTGTGCTTGTGTGTTTGTAACAGCCCTTACTGGCTTGCGAGCCAAGCGGCAGGATGATAGGAGAACAAAAGGGGTTTACTGGATTCTCCTTGAAATGGACCATGCGTTTCCAGATTTTGGGTGGCTGGTTCGGTCGCAGTGAACACGTCCAAAGTCATTCAAAGCGGGTAGAATCATCCATGGTCTTTCTACCATGATCAATCGTCCTTCCAACAAACACGACCCAAAAATAACGTCTGCATCGACCCAAGGGCGAGCCCCTTCAGTCGGAGCAGTCCAGTCGAAATCCACGAAGGCCGAAGCGACGAACAGACCGCGCCTTGTGCCCCGCGAAGCTGGAGGATTGGGCCACCAGGGCCTTGCAGGCGTTGGACAAGTCGTGGAGCCACTCCAGCGTCTGCTTCAGCTGCGCCACCTGCCGAGCGGAAACAGGAGGGAAGGAGGGAGGTGCTCGGATCGGGGAGGCGAGCCGGCAGCCTCTGTGGAAACCTCCGGTGGAATGAGGCTGACCTCAAAGGACACCTATGCTTGAAGCCACTTTCAGTGTGTCCATGGGCGTCGTAGAAAGAAGTTGAACAGCCCGAGATCGACACATTGAACCGAGGGGAGAAGTCGAGAAGCAAAAGGCAAAACCCAAAGAAAATCAACGGCCAGGGTTGGGCCAACCACCTATTTAAACCACGTTCAAACTTTCCCAGATGATCTTTCCACCTTTCAATTGTCACGAGCAGTTTGTGCTTTTGCCCCACTTTCCGTTCGCAACCAGGGAATGGCTTCGATGAAATCATGGCTGCACGGATATCCGTTTGGGTCACTTTGCTAGAGCATAGATGCAGATTTCAGGTTGCTCTAATCGACTCCAATCATTGCGAACAATTTGATAGTGGCTGCCCGATTGCCAAGAGGTCGTCTATCTCGACGAGGCTCATGGCTCGGCCAAAGCGCCGAGCCGATGAGTAGCTTCCCCGCTTGCTGTGTTGCTAAGACTAAGTTTGCTGAACCTTGCTTTGCCTCCATTTGCTTGGTTGGTCCTTGGTTCTTCGCTTGCTCCTTTGCAGGCCGAGAAAGCCCGAGGTAGTCAGGCTATGATTCAATATGAAGCAGGAGGTACTACAGCCATCCTTCTTTGTCCCTTTCCAACATTGCGCCACCAAAGGGTGCAGCTCCCGGCAGGACTCGACTGGGCTTGCCTGCGGATCCCGTCGGCCCAGGTACCGCTCCGAGAAGCTGCTGAGCCGGGGGTCCATGCTGGCGCTCCCTGCGCGTGCCGGGCGGGCCGGAGGGGGGGGGGGGTGCGGGTTGCTCTTCGGCATCTGAAAAACCAAAGAACAAGCCGGAAAAGGATAGCCTCAAACATGAGTCCAGGTCAAAACTCGACTGCGCAAACCTGAAGCAAGGAATGCCTGAGGTGCCTTCATCGATCTGGTTCCAATTTACTCCGCAATATGCCCCAGTTGACTTAACACACCCAAAACGGCCCATGGTTGGGCTTCCTTGGGACGATGTTAGCTACGCTTCAGGAATAGGGGAAGATCACAATGGCCAGACCCACAAAGTCGCATCCTGAGTAAGCCCCGATTTGTTGAATGGAGAGGTGCTCAGTGATTCACCTGTAGATAGGTGCATGCGCAATGAACCCATGGTTAAGGGGTTATGCATGGCTAAGCGCTACGACTTTCAGGACTGCGTGACTAAGAATGGCGGTCTGTCAGCATGCGTCTAACCGTTGAACTGAAGGAATCGCACGATTCGCTTGATATGGGAACCATTCAGGTGGAACAAAAACTGGTTTTCTGATGGAGCCCGGCCATCGGCCGCTGCCTTGAACAAAGCTGTGTCTTGTGCCGGGAACCCCACGTATATTCTATTGTACACAATCAGAGACACTCTGGATTCTTTTGTTCCCACACAACTGAGTACGCTTGATTCCTTCCAACGCAACTTGCACACATCGAGTTTGAGCTTTCACCGGAATCGAGTGTTTGTATTTTGCATGTTCTGATTCGATGCCAATCCTTGAGCATGGATATTTAGTGCGTCCCCTAGTCTTTGTGGAAAATTGCGCGACTCGCGACTCCCCAGTGTCCCTCAGCGTGTTTCGACCAAATCTCATGACCATCTAAGGTGGGAAATGCGACAGATTCCACTGCGAGTTCCTCTGGCGCTGCGGTCAAAGGAATTCATTCCGTGCCCGGCACGGCCCAAACATGCCCTTAGAACTGGTGGAAGGCTTTTTCAACAAACGTATCAATCGACAACTGTTATCTGTCACAGACATCCGAAATGGAGGAACAAAACCCATTTCTTTCCCACAGCTCAGATATCATCAGCACTAGGTGTCCGCACTGTCTGGCCAACTGACCCCTGGCCACCCCCGCGGCCAACACCTCCCCCATTCGCCTCCGATGCGGATCATGTCTACGTTGCCTCTGCCGAGGCGGGGCTCGGCTTGGATGAGGTCACAGAGGAACTCGTCGATGGCGTGGTTCCTGGGGCCACCGGATCAAACGAACCTCTCAGGGCTTCCTAGATTTACATCTTTGGGGAGAAATTTCTGTCAACTGCAGATATCAAAAGACGAAGCTTGCTAGGTGCTTGGTTTAGATCACATCACCCAAGTCGGCTTTGAATAGCCGTGTGTTGTGAATCACTGAGAAGTGGCATGGGTTGACAACATCATGGGAATGGACCCCGTTTTGGAACCGGCATCAAGTCGCTCGCCGGCACGAGCCCTCCTGCGCGACTCTGCCCCCTCCTTGGCCTCAAACCAAAACTGGTTGTCCCCAAACACAATTAAGAACTGAGTGGGCCCAACGCAAGGTGACACTGATGGAATTGTCATAACATGTCTCTTCCCAGAAATGCTGGAAGGTGTGTTCAGTACCAACACTCTACCTGGTCACCCGATAAGGACTTTACACTTCACTGGGCACAAGTGCCTAGCAGCGGTGCGAGCTCATATTAAAGTCCGTGGCCAAAGAGGGTCCACCTCCCAGCTTCAAGTATGCAGCCGGCTGAACCTACAAAGGCTTGCTCGGTACACTTGTTGCCCAGCCCGGGCCCTCAAACTAAGGATGTTTGAGACCCTCAGCAGCAACTCGGAGGGTGGTATGGCTTCAGAAGTGTGGGTGCAAACAAGCCCTCAGAGCGAATCCTCGCTTTCCAACGCTCAGATTGGTGAAACATGGCGATAGCCTGGGCTGTCTTTTCGCAGAAACGGCGGGGGAACTCGCTGTTGTGGGAATCGAATGATTGAACCTCCACGCCAAGCAAAGTATCATCAAGAACGATACTGTCCCAACTCGGCTGTAGGTCGAACCGCTGCGGTTCAACCAAACGGGTTGCAGGATGTCCGCCGATTTCAACCGGACGGCGCTTTGGACACAAGAGGGCCACCTACCTGCGTCGGAGTGTGTCGAGGCTTGTGCTACATCAAAGCAACTCTGACTTTCAAACGCATTTGAGCCACGAAACTACCCAGCCTGTTTTCTCAACACTTGAGCGGAACCCGTCAAATCTGGCAGAGAAAGCAATTGGCGCAACTACCGAGCCCCTGGCTGACGCCGGCCAACCTGGCACTCTCTTGTCGCAGTCAGTCGGGGCAATTCTTGCTGTTCAATCGTTTTGGGCCGCAACGCTGTCAAGCCCGTTTGCTTGAGACTTCACTCACAGCCAAGAGTCTACGCTGAACTGTTTTTTTCTTGTGAGGCTCGCGCTCTTGAAAAAAAACACATCGGGCCGCAGCAGTTGGCCTGTAGCTGATCAACTTGCCTAGACGGCCGAGCAAGTCAGCTCGGCCACAGTGTTCTCCTGCGGCCTACTGCTCCGGGAAGAGGCCAGCCTCGTCGTCTTGCGCCGCTGCCTCCGTGGCCGATGGCGCGCGTTGCCTTTGCGGCAGCCACCGCCTTCTCACGGGTGGCGCCGCCGTGCTCCACCCACGCGCGTGCCGTCTTGAGGTGGCAGTAGGCCACGTACATATCCCCGTCAGCCGCCATGAGATTGAGGACGCTGAGCAGAGCTGACTTGTCGCGCTTGAGGAAGTCAAAGATCACCCCTGCGGAGGCCTCAACTTCTTGCTCCGTGGCCGCGCGGCCCTCCTTCTCGGCTTCCCGCTTCCGTTTCAAGCTTCCGACGCTGACGGGCTTGCTGCTTCCAGTGGAACCTTTCCCAGCGTTGATCACGCGGAGGTGCGGATCCAATACCTTGGCCTCTGCCAAGGCTTTGTCCAGGATTTCTTTCTTGGTGAGCAACGCCATCCTGGGATCCCTGAATTTGGCAATGGCATTGCTCAGGGCCTCAGCGACCCTGCTGAGCCCAATGCCGACACGCATGTCGCCCCCGGTGCGCTCAGTCGCTGCAAGTGTCGCTGCAAGTTCGTGCAGGAAAGCCGCTTTGCGAGTGCCTGCAGTAACCACAGCTCCTTCGTGCTGGTTGCCCCAATAGGAGCCCTCTCTAAGAATTGCGAGGGCGCCCGGTCGTAAGAGAGCAACTTGGCTCGCTTGTCTTCCGCTGTCAAGTCAGAAGTGGCAAAATGCGGACAAGGCTTCGGGCCAGAAAGCTGCTTGCCCACGCTCCACCAAGCAAGAAACTTGAGCCACTCGGAAACAAAACTCGCTGGCCGCGCCTGGGCCTTGACGACGTTTTTGCTGTCCGCAGGGGCGTGGCGGCATTTGCCCCAAAGAGCCCGCCAAGTTGCCACACACACGCAAGAGCAAGTTTGAGGTCCGGGCCCGGAGCAGAGCCTCAATCCGCGTCTCAATCTCTCGCGTTCTTTCTCCCGTATCTTTCTGAAGCTTTCCGCTTTAATGTTGGCTTTCGCGCCTTTGGGTCGCAAGCTCGTGCAGGAAGGCTGCCTCGCAACCTCCCACAGCTCCTACTGCGGCTTGCTTTTTGTGAGGGCCCGGCCCTTTGTAGTTGTTACGCTTGAAATGTCCGGCCTTGGAAACACTCTCTCGGTCTCACTTCTTCTGGTCAGCTTTTGTCGGTCTGTTCTTCTAGGCTCCGCGCTTGGCGTCGGTTCGGCCTTAGAGCTCAAACGGGCACGCATTGACAAGCTTGACCCCCGCTGTTCTGGTCCACACTGCCTTTTTGAAAAGCTGCCGCTTGTTTGTTGGTGCATTTTGGCGCGCGCGATGCCTTCTGACTCAACACGAATGCAAAAGCAACATGTTCAAAAAACGCATATTGAAATCCCTCGCTTGCCAAGCTTTAAATTTAAAAGCGAGCCTTTTTTCCACTGTTAGTTTTCTTCAAAAAAGGCACCGTCGAAGCAAAATTAACTTCCGAAATCTTTGCAATTGCAAGTCTGGGCATATCAGCGCTGTTGCCAATTTGCACTTGGGGGTCCAACAGCTGCCAATCTGCAGCTGCCAGCTGCCGGTCTGAAGCTGGCGGCAGCTGCCAGCTTGGCAGCTGCAGACTGGCAGGGCAGACTGGCAGCTGCAGACTGCTTGCAAGCTGGCAGCTGCAGACTGGCAGCTGCCAGCTGTAGACTGGCAGCTGGCAGCTTCAGATTAGCAGCTACCAACTTCAGCCTGGCAGCCGCCAACTTCAAACTGGCAACTGTCAGCTGCAGACTGGCAGCTGGCTGGCAGCTGGCAGCTGCAGACTGGCAATTTGAGACTGGCAGCTGTTAGCTTCAGACTGGCAGCTGCTCAGCTGGCAGCTGCAAACTGGCAGCTGGCAGCTTCAGATTGGCAGCTGCCAACTTCAGACTGGCAACTGCGCAGCTGGCAGCTGCAGACTGGCAGCTTCAGACTGGCAGCTGCCAGCTTCAGACTGGCAGCTGCCAGCTTCAGACTGGCAACTGCCAGCTTCAGACTGGCAACTGCCAGCTTCAGACTGGCAACTGCCAGCTTCAGACTGGCAGCTGCAGACTGGCAGCAGCAAGCTGGCAGCTGCAGACTGCAGACTGGCAGCTGCCAGCTGCAGACTGGCAGCTTCAGACTGGCAACTGCCAACTTCAAACTGGCAGCTGCTCTGCAGGCAGCCGGCAGCTGCAGACTGGCAGCTGCAGACTGGCCATTTGAGACTGGCAGCTGTTAGCTTCAGACTTGCAGACTGGCAGCTGGCAGCTACACACTGGCAGCTGGCAGCTTCAGATTGGCAGCTGCCAACTTCAGACTGGCAACTGCCACCTGCGGACTGGCAGCTGGCAGCTGGAAACTGGCAGCTGCAAACTGGCAGCTGCAGACTAACAGCGCCAACTTCAGACTGGCAGCAGCTGCTAGCTTCAGACTGGCAGCTGGCAGCTGCAGACTGGCAGCTGAGCTTCAGATTGGCAGCAAACGGACGCCAGCTCGGGGCAGCTCGGGGGGCTGAGACGTGGAGTTATCTCGCTGCTCGTCAAAAAGGGGAAAATCAAATCTTCGAGTTCTGTGTCTGTGTCTGAACGTTCAAATTCTGACATGGAAGCTGGAGACTCAGACTCGCAGTCGGAGCTGCTGGCCTGTGAGTCGCTCAGGGCGCTTGGATAAATTTGCTTTGTGTCACAACCAGGCCCACGAGGCAGCGCAATCAGCACGAGCGACGAGAAGCGACGAAAAAAAATAAACTACGCAGTTTTTGCCCAACAACCCGCAACAGGCAAAGACCGCGCAAGCGCTGGCCCAGCTTGCAACAACAAGTGAACACTCCGTCGCTCGCAAGCAAGCAAGAACGCCAGGACTCTCGTACATATGGGCAAAATCCGCAGAACAGACTGGCTCTGGCGCTGAGGTCGCTCGCCGCTCGCGCTCTGCGATTCGCTAGCTCCTGCCCGCCGCTTGCGGCTTGTCGCTTCTTTCCGTCGGGCGCGTGCAAGCTGCGCTGCCTGGCGCTGAGCCCTAAACCGTTGCCGAGCCAATGGGATTTGCTCCAAAGCGCGCTAGACGCAAGATAAAAATCGTTGCCAAGCCAGTGGGATTGCTTCTGCGCTCGCGGAGCTCGACTTTCCAGCTTCGTGCGCGGCGTTGCTTCGCGTTTCAGCTTGCTGTGAGGCGAAGGACTGCCCGCTTCTTGCCAGCGCAGCTACAACTCCTGCCCTGGCACAACACGGCGAAGGCTTGCGCGGTTGCTGCGGGGCGCGTCGCCTAGCGTTCTTGCTTGCTTGAGGGCGACGGAGTGTTCGCTTGTTGTTTGCGCTGGGCAAGCGCTTGCGCGGTCTTTGCCTGTCGCTTGCTGCTGGTGACAAAGCGCTTCTTGTTTTCTCGTCGCGCTTGCAGTTGTCTCGAAGTCTTTGAACCCTAAACCCTAAACCCTAACCTGTTCCTCCTTACCTGTTGCTCCGACCTGCAGGCACCCCGAGCTAGCAGAAAATTGACAAAACCAAGGTCTCCACTCAAGTCCTGCCTGGCCTTTCTGCCAGAAAGAGTGGGAAAGGAAAACTCAAGAAACATCAGTAGGAAAGAGCTTGATTGCATAAGTAGCATCCCCACCGATCATTCCACATCAATGGAATACAATGCAGCAAAAACTACACGCATCCTGCACTAGGGAAAACAACACGAGCACACAAAAACAAACCAATGGTCCCTACTCATTCCCGTTGGGACCCCAGGCACCTGCTCAAGTCTTCTGAGAGAGCGCAAGCATGAAACGATATATTAAAAAGGCTTGTTTGTATCGATAAGAGGAAGTTGCAGCAAACAAGAATACTACACATTGCAGAGAGCGCAAAGAAGATGAACAAATGGAGGCAAACTAAAGGCCCCTATTCAAGTCCAGCAGGGACCTTGCCACAAGAATATATGCAAAAACAAGAAGCCTCAGCGGGACAGATTGCATCAGTAGCACCTCCATCCATCACGTCGGGGGACCTGAGCAAGTTGCAAGCAAACAACAGCAACCAACGCGTCCTGATTTTCAGGCTTCCAGGAAGTAGTGAGAGCACATCACGGGTCATCAGGTTCTATTTCCTTTCGCTCTCGCTATCATCTTGTTACTCACTCCCCACTACCTTTCTCACACTTTGACCACACCAGCTCCCACGATTGTTGGCCAATCCTCCACAGCCCTCCAGCTTCCTCGGTAGAAGAAGATGGCGTCCAGCCTGTGCAAATGTTGTAGTAGCGATATAAGCAATTCATGGATGCGCTTTGCAGCTTTCAGCTTGGCAGCATGGTCCAGCTTTCCATACTCGCGATGTGTCTTCGCCGGTCCTGCTTCGCGGCGCGACCACCTTGTCATTCCATTCCAGCCAACCCCACCAGTCCTACAAAGCAGAGACAGACCCCACTGAGGGAAAACATGAGCAGAAGGAGGCAAGCCAAAGGTCCCTACTCAAGTCCTGCAAAGAAGCTCTCCAGACAGAGCTGGATTGCATCAGTAGCATCCCCATGCATCACTTCTGGGGACCTTTCCAAAAACAAACACAAGGACGCACATCCCCAGCTAGGAAAGAGGACTTGAACAAACGGAGGCAAACCAAAGGCCTAACCCAAGTTCTGCAGAGACCTTGCCAGGGAAAGGGTGCAAACACAAGAGAAAACAAAAAGCATCAGAAGAAGGAAGCTTGCTTGCATCAGTGCCTTGTATGCCTAAAGTATTGCAAGTAGGTCGACCACAAACCATAGGAATTTAAAGGATTGCCCATGTTGCCTACTTGCAATATTTAGGGCACCCGCTGTAACCACACAGCCTGTTAAACGTTCCATTTCTACACGCGCTGCGCGTGTGAAACACATGCAAGAATTCGACTCGACCCCACACCCATCTCTGCTCATTGCTACTGCCGTCCTGCGGCAAAGAGACATGAACCAACCAGGTCAAACAAAAGGTCCCTTCCCAAATCGAGTTTCTGCTTTGCACATGCATTGTACCTGCAAGACACATGAAAGCAGGCCTGTATGGTCGGCGGTTTGAGCATGAGGCGTTAAAGATCCAGTGAAGCAATGTCCAACATGAGCTTGCACAAGCACACAGAACCAACATCGCCTTCCAAGAGTGCCTCCAAAAAAGGGGGGTTCTACACACCCAGAACCTTATCAGGGGCCAAGCCGTTCGCACGAATCCAACTGGAACCTTGCGCCAAAGGGCTTGTACGAAAGGACCAGGATGGGCGGCGTGCCCACGGTGGCATTCCTCGGCTCATCGCAGCTTCTGGGGCCAGGGTCCGAATTGTCTCTCAAGCTCTGGCTCCGAATTGCTGACTTTGTTGGCGGAACCCGCTGTACGATCCAAGGAGCAAGGGCTCACAAGCCTCAGAGTGAGATGCTAGGCGTACATCAAGCCGGAAAACAACTTTAGCAACCTAGAGTGGCAAGCAATGATGCTGCAAAGCACCATGAAGCATCATGCAACTATCCTGTTGACATCCAGCCATGCCAGATCTCTTTGTCAAAGATTCAGAGGATGAGCCCACAAAGGCAGTAAGGACGAGTTCTAAAGTGAGATATTCAACTCCCAACCCTGGCATGTGACAAAGGACAGTGTTTTCTGCAAACACAAAGAATAAGCCAAAGCATAAACAAAGCTCCACAGAAAAGGGAAAAAAGGCTTGGATCCATACGGACAAGACGTCGGAGCAAATCTGTCCGGGACTGAGAGGGGAGGGGGTCCATAAGGATGACCTCATGGCCACTTCAGAAGTCTCCTGATAAAGTTGGCTACTCCTAAATTATCAAGTGCATGGTCAAGGAGTGACACATATTTCTTAACCTTTTGAACAGACTGCGAACCAGCTCCCTGCCAATGGAACCAAGAGCTGCGTCCAACTCCAGATAAGTCTGGAGTGGACCTGAGCCTCAGACCAACCTCAAAATGCAAGGCAACCCGTGTTGTTCCATGTCCATTGTCCTAAACGAAAAGGAAAAAGCGACCCCAAAAAGTGCGACTCGGTATACCCATCGCCCATGTATGCAGAGTCCCAGTCATTCTGTGGATTCGCGGCAAGGTGCACTTGCTGCCAAAGCTTTCGGATGATCAGCAGCGCGCGCACCATGACCACTCCCAGGTAGGACTTGCCCGTTCCCGGAGGGCCTCGCGAGCGGCGAGCGGCGCACCGCGCCAGGGAAGAGGAAGAGGTCAGCGAAGCGCATGCCGAAACAAGGAGAGCTCGTTTTGAGGGATCTGCAAGGAAAGGCCAAGGTGAGCTCGTTTTGGCCCCAAGCTCACGAGGTAAGCAATAGGCAGAGGCCATGCGTAAATGGTGGGTGCCAAACTAGACCCCCAAAAATGGCGGTGTTCGTTTTGGTCAAAGGCAAAAATGGTACCCTCAAAAACAAGCTTTAGAGGCCTGGGGCCTGAAGGGGTAGGGAGACCTGCGTGAACTGATCCTCATTACTTTTCCTGGAGCTTCTCAGAAAGCGTAGCCAACAACACACACACACACAGCAAATCTGTGGTCCACCAGACGATCTAAATGCCTGGGGTTTCTGAACTCAAAAGACCTGCAGGTCTCAGGATCCTACCTCAGCTTGTGCCCACACATACTGTGGATGGGCAACATCCCCATTCGGGATGGACGAAACTCTGTGAAAACTTGATATCAATCACTTACTAACTGGCAGGATCATGTCCACAGCATGTCTACATTCTGGACTTAGTAACCCTTTCTCGCGCCTTGGGTGAGGTGGAGGGAGTTCCGAAGGCCATCGATGAAGCTCCGCAGCTGGCCATCGTCCAAGGTCACCGCCCGCAGCAGCTGAAGCAGCTCCTGAGAGAGCCTCAGGGGCGTCTTTGTTTTCAGGGTACACCTTCTCTTTCGCGGGTTTCAAGGAAAACCAAAAGGAAAACCAGGTTCCCAAAAATGAAACACCCCCAAGTAGCTACTTAGGATGCTCGGCCCACGTGGTGGTCAGTAACCTAGATTATATATGAGGGGACTCATGGGTTGCACAGGTCTTCCCGCGCCCCTTGCCAAAAGGAAGCTCACTTTAAACTGGCAACCAAAAGGTGTTGTGTAAAGCCCTGTTACACCCCATGCAAACCCCTTGAGTGGGCCGAACACGCAAGTACCCAGAATCTGGGTAAATTTCTATGACTTTCCAACCAGAATTAAGGACCCGTAAGAGCTCGCTATAGTTCGGTGCACTCAACAACTAGAACAACCCAAAGATGGAACAACCCAAGATAGCAATTGGAGCACATCGCAACATGCAAAAATACGCTTGACTGTATTGAAATAGTGTGTCCCTCGCGCAGCACTATGCATGTGTGTGTGTGTGTGAATGCATTTATACCCAGCGTAAGTCTCTCTCTCTCTATATAATAACATATATGCACATGTGTCTTCAATCACGAATTTAAACAATTCTGCGAATATGCAGCACATGCAAACGATCCAAGATGGACGCCTGCCACCACGTGCTTTATCACAAGTTAGATCTATCAAACATAGAAACACCTGCGAGGCCAATGCAATTGAAGATAAGATTCAATCTACCATATCAACAGCGAAAACGACATCGAAGTTCACATAGGAAAACTCACGGAAGTGATTGTGGAGAGGCAATCCAACGCCGGCCATGGTCTTCAACAGCTGTTTTGGTGCTGCTGTCTGGCAAACTGTCCATGATAGATTCTTGTTTCGGCCCCGCAAGTTGTGCAATTGTGCTCTTCGCTTCCGAGTGGACCGGCTTTACATTCTCACTGATTCCCAGTTGTGTTTTCAAAGTCTTGATCTTTCTGTCAATCATTCTTCTCACGAACAAAATACGGACCCGTCGGTTAGCATCATTTAGGTGGGATTCATGTTGACGCACTTGCCAGGCCTGACAAAACGGTCCCAACCCAAGCCTGGGTAAGAGAAGGAGGAAAGGGAAGGAGGTTGAACAGTTGGCCTGAGAGGAGTCCCCGCTTTTGCCAAGGGTTCAGGTTCGTGAAGGAGTGGCCGGTGAGTCCCAGCTGACCAGAGGCCTGTGGGATTCCGACCTTCTGCTACTCCGCTTTCTGAAGGCCGGTAGGGGGGTCACGTCTTAAGTACGCCCACACATTGGAAGAATGGGCTGCAGACTCGCAGACTGGCGAAAAATGTGGAAAACACGCAGAAGCCTCGGATCCCCAGATCCAGGGGGCCTGTCTGCCAGCTGATCATCTCTCCGGATCTCTCGGATGGGCTGCAGAGTGCTTTCATCGATCATCTCATCCACCTCGATGCGGATGGAAAAGATCCCGTGCAGAGTGAAACATACGGGGTTCAACCTTCCATGGGTGCCTGGGCCTTTGGCGCCTGTCGCCCTTTGCATTCATTAAAGTCATTTGAAAGGCCAGCCCACCATTGGAAACCATCAATCAAAACATATCATCAGGCAAAACTGAACACTTGGTGGCAAGGCGATGTGAGAAGAGCTTTGAGCACTGTTTGTCCCAGTGTGTCGGGGGCTTGCTGTTGAGACTCATCCCTGGCCGGTGCCTTCTCAAAGCTTGTGCGAGGAGACTTGTGGCCTTCGTTCCTGGCAAATGGATTCGCAACGCGAACTTGGATGGTTCTAAGTCACCCGGGTGCATTGGCGTCCTTTTTGCAACCACCTTCGCATTTTGCCAGACTCGTGTCTGGTTGAAGAATGATTCATCCCGCTATCCCAGCCAGGTGACCAACTGCTGCAGGTTTGACCTCAGGCCAGAGGCTCCGGAAGCCCTGCGGGTACGAAATCCTTCTGCGACGCACGCTGACCCTGGCACATGCAGGATGGTAACACCGGACTCAGTAGAGTCAGCCTTGCAACAAATGCGCTCAAGTTGGCCAGGGTCTATTTGGCGAAAACAAAACCAGCACAGGGGGCAGCCGACTTGTGACAAGATTCAGCTGCCCGCTTGGCCCCGTCATCTTAGCCCACTTGAGCAACGTCCCACATCTATTGACTTTGGGTGTCATCAAGATGGATAGATTGTAAAGAATGCACAGGCCTTTCTATAACCTCCATCAATCCAAGGGCTAGCATCCTCTACCAACAATTGTCCGCCGGATGCTTTTTGGGCTACCTCAACCCCCCACCCCCAAAAAATGGAGAAAGTAGGGGGCCTGGGGGGTGGTCTGTTGATGGTCCCCTGTTATGTTTTTTATATTCATCTCAAACCTATTAACCACCTTATTCGTTTTTAAAAGAGGGTTTTCGGGGAGCTTATTTATCGTTTTCGTTAAGGTAGTCATTTGGGTAAATTGTCGCCTTGTTCATTGTTGGGCTGGGGGCCGACATTTTTTTCATTTGAAAGAGTTGACCCTTTTAGTAGTTATCAATTTGTGGGGTGTTGGTGGTGTATTTGTTTTTTTTTGGTTTGTCCTTCACTTCGGTCGTGTGCCACGTTTTCCTCGCCGACTTCATCATTGACTGGCACACCTTGCCTGTTTAGAGACGTCGCTCATCATTTTTGCAGACGGTCGTGATGATACATTTGACGAAGATTGATGCATTGCAGTTGATGGCAGTCAGTGTGTATTTTGACACTATCATTGAACCATGAATGCTCTTATTTCAGTCATCGGTATTCATCGGTTGCTGTTTTTTTTTTTTGTTCGAGCAGTATTCCTTTTTGCTGTGTGCCATCCTTCTCCTGCCATTTCGAAACGCACTTTGACCCATGGCACCAAAGAAGTTCTCCAGCGGGTACAAGTCTGAACCAGAAGAGCAGACTGAGCAGGTGGCAACCCAACCTGTGCCAGACGCTCAACCTGAAGAGCAGACTGAACAAGAGACATCCCAACCTGTGCCAGACGCTCATCCTGAAGCAGTGGATGAGGAGGTGTTGCTCATCACCCAAATGCTGGAGGCGGAGCAGTTCTTTGGCGATGTGGCGATGTCATCCGACCAGAACCTGACCGAGACTGTGGAACGCATCACCAAACGTATGAGCATTGCTATCAAGGCCAAGTCCATGCTGGAGTCGGAAAAAGCCAAGCGTGAGAAGGCCCTTCGTGATGAACACGCTGTCATCAACAAGCGCGCCAAGGCGGAAGCAAAGAAGAATGCCAACGCTCAGTTGCGTCAGGGGACTTTGACTTTGACGATTGTGCTCCCGAACAATGCCCGCTTCGCGATGAGGATTGACCGCAGTCTTACTCTGGGAAAGCTTCGCAAGAAGATTATCCGTCTGGCCAAGTCCAAGGGACTTTTCACCTTCAAGTTCAAGAAGTTGCTGGAGGTGGCGGTCATCTCCTCGGATGCTGTCAATGTCGGTTCCACACCAAGGGGCAACATCTACAACTGCAAGCAGTTGCAGGATGGAATGACGCTGGTGGCGATGTACACCAACGAGTTCGACAGTCGGACCTTCAGCTTTCCCACCATCCACGAAGAGACGCAGGCATTGGACGAAGAGGAGGACGGCGATGACGGTGATGATAGCGATGATGACGAGGAGGACTAGACATCTCCATCAAGTCCTTCTACTGACTGTTGCCATTTGTATGTTGAGACTAGCAGTCAGTCGGTCAAAGCATGATGCCAAGCCGAGTAGATGGACGCTCTGTGCGGTTGTTTCCTATGTATGTTGAAACATCCTGGACAGGGTGAAACCTCGGATGTCTTGGGAGCGAGTGGAAAACAATTTCACAAGGACATTGACCGTTGTTCATTTGAATGTCTGCAGTCAACAGCACTAACGCCGCTTATTTGCTACTACTGTTTGGGTTCCATCAGCGGACAACATCCCTCTCCATTTGACTTGCCTTACTTTTGCGATGCCGTCCTTGGTGGTTTTGCGGAGCGCCAACGGGGATGTGAAACCTTTCTTCACTGAGACCAACAGTGTCATTTCTGACACATCCTTGCCGTGGGATGTCAACAAGGACGACCTCATGAAGTTGACCTTGAAAGAGCTCTACGCCCTGACTCCGCCCGACATCCAAGCCGATGTGAAGAAGAACTGCAAGCGAAAGGATGAGGCGGTTGATGCGGTCTTCGCTATGTGGGATAAGGTCATGGACTACAAGAGTGGAGCTTGCCCTACGGTCGCTGTCGCTAGTGGAAGTGGTCAAGGTGCAGGTGGATACGGAGGAGACAGTGCTCAGGACTCGGATGACCAACACAGTGACGACCCAGATGACCCCGACGACGGTGGCTCTCCTTTGCCAGACCCTGCCGACTACACCGAGGGCGATACTTGGTTGACGGTGTTCAAGACCTACGAAACGTCCTTCATCAACATCCTCGTGAATGAGAACTACTCAATCCTCATGGTGAAGGTTGCCCTGACTCAGGAGTTGAACATTCCCGTCCGTGACCAACGCCTTGTGTTCCACGATGAGGACTTGAACGATGGACAGGTGCTGGGAGAGTTGAACCTTGAACCGAGCGACTACTTCAGTCTCTTTGTCAGAGCGCAAGGCGGTGGAAAGCGTGGTCGTGGTTCGGATGGCGCCACTGGTGGGAAAGACAACACGGATGACTTCCTGAACTTCAACATCGCTCTGCCGGACATCTTGCCGACCGACACAGAGCCCGTGAAGAGAGCCTTGTCGCTGACCAAGATTGACATTGCTGGATGGGTGAAGTCAATGGACACAGATAAGGCGGACCGTCTCCTGACCGTCTTGGATGAGCAGTCCAAAGCAACTTCGCTGAAGTTCCTCATCAAGCCGTATCTCCCCTTCGTCACAGAGTTTGAATGTCTACAGGACAGTTGTTTCATGATAACCTGAAGTCCATTTCAGACACAGTCCCCGTATCCAACCTGAAGTCCATTTCAAACACAGTCCACGTGTCCAACCTGAAGTCCATTTCAGACACAGTTCCCGTGTCCAACCTGAAGTCCATTTCAGACACAGTCCCCGTGTCCAACCTGAAGTCCATTTCAAACTGTCAGTTCTGGTGTAATTTGCATTTCAGACACACCCCACATTTTCAGCCTGAAGTCCATTTCAAATACAGTCCCCGTGTCCAACCTGAAGTCCATTTCAGACACATTTCCCGTGTCCAACCTGAAGTCCATTTCAGACAATCACCTTGACAGGAGGCGACCAAGCGGAATGAGATGACATTGAACTACCTTCGCCTTCTCCTGATGAAGGCATACAAGGAGTTCACGGAAGATGAGAAAAACAAGCACAAGAAGTTTGAGCGTTTGGTGCGTGACCATGTGATGAGAAACAAGAAGGCTGACACTGATGCTTCAATGTAGAGGAACTGAACATAAATCAGAACATCAACCGCGCGAGGGTGAAAAAAAAAAGAAGATACATTGCTCAAGTGAACCTCAGAATGTCATTTTTTCCTTCGCAGTATTCTCCCTCCATTCCCATCGCGACAGGTCAAGAAGTCAAGCTGAACATCGTCTACCACATCTGACGTCTACAAGGTTTTGGTTGCGAGGGTGAGCTGGAATTGCTGTGTTGACTTGTTGGTGTTTATGTTTGGAGGGAGGATTCGAACAAGACACTTTGAAGATTGAAGTGGAGAAGGGTTCAAACAAGACATCTTTCAGAGTTTACGTGTGCGTTTATGTTGTTTGTGTGGGTGTGTTGTTTCTGTTGATGTGTTTTTTCGGCTGTTTCGGTTGTCGGTGTGTTCGTCCGCCGTTTGTCCGCTCCCCGCTCCGCCAGGTGACGCCACGCCCTCGGTCTCTTTTCCCCCTTTTTCTTCACTCCGCCTTTTGTTTATGTTGCTGTTGATGGAGTGTGAGTCTCGTTGCGTGCGTTGTTTTTTCTGGTGTGGGTGGTCTGTGGGTGGTCGGCCTTCGGCTCAAATGCTGGTGATGCTTTTTGCTGATGATGCTGGTTTCTGTTGATGCTGGACTAAAACAAACAAACAAACAATTCAATAATCAAATCAGTAGGAATTTTATATAGGTCATCTTGTTTATGTTTAATGTATCCCTCACCCCAACTATCCTTTTTACCACAAGGCAACCGAGCCTGTCCCTGAAAATAATTCTAATAATTTCATATTATTAGAACTATTTAGATAATTATTTTATGGAATAATGCCCATATGGTAATGAAGTGAAAGCATCAATATAAAACCTTTTGTTTTCATAATTACTGAGAGATTGCTTGACTTGAGACATTGAATATATTTGATGTGACTTACTCCTAATAAAATGATATGTGATTTCGTGCTTTTTGTTTTGAAATAATGCTTCGTGATAGTTCTGATACGACAGTTCTTTTTTCACTTTGTGTTTCACTACACCTTTTGATTTCTTATGTTCATCAACCTCACCATGAATTGTGAAGGCATATGATTTAGGTTTTAATCCGATGAATTTAGTAATGATTTTTCCATTCACTTCGTCCTTAAACATTCCTAAGACCTTTTTATTAGTTTTGTCAAAGCATGGATGTTCAGGTGGATAGTCGCTAAAATCCATGTGTTGCTTTATATCATTGAAATCCTTATAGACATCATCAGTCATTGTTTGAATTACATAACTGTCAGTATCAGTATAAACCAGTTTTATGTTTTCATTGTATTTTTTCTTAAGGACATCATAGTAAAACTGATACATATGTAATTTGCTTAAATCTAAAATGCTCATTCCTGAGAAAATCGGTTTATCCAGTTTCAGTTTTGCTTTAGTTTTTTCAACTCCTACGAGATTTTCATTAATAATAAATCTGTTTTTGAATGTTGGATTATTAACACATTTTTCATATCTTACCGCATTATCAACTAATTC